AAGTACGAGCTCCACGCGGGGACGGAGTCCACCCCCAGCGTGGTCGTCCACGTGTGCGAGAGCGAGACGGAGGAGGACGAGGCGGTGCGGCCGAAGCAGCAGATCGTCCAGACCAGACGTCCCGACGGGGCTCCCGCCGTCTTCAACTAAACGGGGGGACGGCGGGGGAACCTCCGCCCCGACCCCGCCTCCTCGGCCTCCCGACCGCGGCGCGGCGTCCGCACCCTTCAAAAAACCCGTGACACACCTGCCCCCCTCCCTCCTCTCTCTCTCTCTCGTCTCTGCACTCACAGAGAGCGTCGACGGCCCTCATTTCAGTTCAACTACAAGCGAAAAACAAAAACATTGCTTCGAACGACGGCGTTTTTGGTGGAGCGCGGCGATGGAATGAGGCGGCCGGAAGGGAATGGATGACACACAAACACTCATCACATTCTGCGGACAGCGTGGGCAGCGGCGGCCTGGCCTCCCACCCACCAAACTCCCCCTCTCCTCAGATTTCAGCAACAAGGGTGGGGCGGACATACCTGTCCGAACACAGGCACCTGTCACGTATCACTCCCAGCTGTCATTGCTGCTCGTCCCTCACCTCCTCCTCTCATTTGTACGGCGATCATCCCGGACATTTTGTCTTTCCTTTCGAGATATATTAGACTTTCTTTTTCAAATCTGCTGTCTTGCATCAGGACCGAGTGTGTGATGCTGCCGCTCTTCTCTGCATGTATATACTCTGTAATGAAAAATATGTACTGAAACACAAATACTAACAAGTCATACGAAGAAAAAGGAACCTATTTAACGTCACACACCGCACGAAGCGCCATACGTGACTAACAAAGATGCGCTGGTTGTTTGACTTCCTTTATTTCTGCTTCTTCTTTTGTCTTCTTTTTTTATTTGAAAGGTGTTTTTTGCTAACTAGATGTGTATTCATACTCTGTATTTGATAATCCAACAATTTTTGCATGCCTATTTACTTCTGAGAGGCTGAAGTTTTTTCACTATTGTTCATGCTGGCAGGGAATTGGTGTTGGCGGTGAGTTTTGCTAAAACTTTGATGGATTGGAAAACAATTCATCCCTCCTTTTCTTCAAGGACTTTTGTGATATTTGTCTCTCTTTTTTTTAAATTGTATTTTCACATCCCTTTCTTTTGCTTTCTGCATGTCAGGTTTTCTGACAAACTGCTTGTTTTGCACTGAGAATCTCTTTCTCTCTCTCTGTGAACTGAAATGTGCTGTAAATATGTCAAAATGGTTTATCTGGTTCTTTTTGCAGCCGACTGATGCGGGGGAGAAAAGAAAAAACATGGAATGGACCGACCAAAGCATTTATTCGCAAATGGATTTTTAGTGTTTCTTTGCATTTCTCACCTGCTTGTTTAACCAGATGAAGAAACATGATTAGCTGCTTGTAACGGATGTCTGAATCTTATGTCATTTGGCAGCTTTATATCTGTTTGTTTGGCTGCAAAGCATTAAGAGAAAGACATGTCTGTGTGAATGCAAGTGTGAGTTCCTTCTTTATTTGAGGCAAAGCTTGTATCTCAAGCTCAGCACCTGCTCAGCCTTTTTCACCAGCACATTATATTGCAGTGAGTGAAACACTTCAGTGAACCCTTTAGGCCTTTTGGATCTATAGGAGCGAGCTCCTGGGATGCATGTTCACCTGAGGTTTGACGGAAAGCAGGACGGCGCAGCAGATGGAATTTAAAAAATAGATATATATCTACTCTGTGTTTCTGTTTGTTTTAAGCATCTGTTTTTCTGACAAGCGGCTGAACGTTTTACCGGAGCCGATACGTTTCGATGGTTTAAAAGAAAACGCAGCAGCAGCAGCGCATGAGGAAACACGTTTCTTTTTCTTTTTTACTCTGTAATCATGGAGGTTTAAACTGGTGCACTTTGGTCACAGTTGAGAAGATGTATATTTATGTACATATGCCAAGTGTTTTGTTTCTTTTCTTGCTGAGGTCAGTCTCAGTGTGCAGTTTGTTACAGCTTTTCCTTGGCTTTGTTGTAATGGGGAGAAAAAAAAACATCAAAAAGAAAAACAACAAAAAACCACATGTATCCTGAAGATGCTCGATCAAAACCAACTGTCTTGGTGTTGTTGTTTGACATTGACTCGGTTTGAATGTTTCATTTACTTCTGGGGAACTTAAATAGCTCAATAATACCGTTAATACTGTCATTGTTGTAACGTTTCTGTTGAGATCTGAATATCGTGTCTGAATATCGTAGAAATCCAGAAAACAACGTAGCAAAAACAAGCAATAATTTACAGTTGTATGATACCAGTATGTGTATTTTACATGTTCTGTACCTATTTCTCAGACATGGTCTCTCTGTCTCTGACAGTTATCTGCTTCTGTTTGTGTAGTAAGGAAGTCCATTTGTTTCACATAGAGAAATACATAAAGACTCATTTTTAAAAGCCATGACTTTATGTCGTTCATTTTCTGGGTGTTTTTCTGCTTTTGTTGTGTCGGTTCTGATTGTTAAGGTTAAAAAGAAATCAAATGGGTTTAGATGAAACAGAAGGTTACTTTATAAATCAAAGGCTTTGCTTCTTTTGGGGCTGATTAATGCTCTCAGACAAAACTGCTGAAAACTAAAACAAAAAAAATTCTTCTTAAAGTTGTTGCTTATCTAACGGATTTAATATATAATAGATGATTAAATCATGTTGTATTTTACAGCAGTAGTTTCCTCCTGTGAGCTCCCCGCTGGAGGGAGGCCTGATTCTTTCTTCTTGAAAGAAACAACAATCCCTCCACTGCTGCTTTTGCAATCAGCACAACTACAAACTTTATGTCTGAAGCACCTGTGATGCAGCTGCAAGGCAAAGAGCGCAGCAGCTGGGAGGAGAGGCGCGTCGTGGGGTAGGGGTCGGGGAATTCCTCCTCACAATGAGCCTCACTGTTTCATGTTGACGTGTGAAAACCTACCAGATCGGGTTAGCATGGCGGGTGCTAACCGGCCCAGAAGCTTCAAAGGCTGCTGTTGTGCAAAAGTATTCACGCGCTGCAAACCTTTTCACAATTTTTCACGTTACAACCACACATTTCCCCTAACGTTTCAAACGTTAAGGGATTTGAAACACATTTCAGTGTTTCAAATGTGGATTTTATGTAGCAGAACAATAGAAACTGGTTCATAAGAGCAAAGTTTTTTAAATGTGACTAATAAACTGAAACAAGATTAGTCAACATTAGGAAATTATTGACTTAAGCTCTGATATATCTTGCTAAAAAGTTACTTGTAAGATAGTTTTGTTTTATTTTACTATTTCTTATTTGCACTAGAAAAGAGACTAAAATACTTTATAAACTGTTTTTTAAAAGCTTAAAATTGAAGACTCTCAAATAATTCCTGTCATTCCTACTGAACAGACTCGAATTTCCTGAAATCACATTTTGACAGTCGTTGTTATTCCTGCAGGTGTCTGAATGAAAACTCTCAGACTTTTGCAGCACCAGGTGATGTTTGCAGCACCACCACAACATGATGGAGGCTGATGGATTCCCTTTTTCATTGTGGTTTTCCTCCCCTGTGAAACCTGAGCTCCACCTTTTATGCTCTTAACAGTCACATAATAGGACACGCACAAGTGGGTCATCTGCATCACTCTCGGCACGTTAGGGGATTCCTAACAATGCAGGACAAGTTTAGTTACACTTTTTCGTACAAAAGCAATGGTGCTGCTTGTCATGATGGACTCCACCCAAACCCTGGAGGGAAAGTGATGCTGCAGACTGAGGATGCCGATCAGGGGCTCTGCCAGGAATCTAGGGCCCCCTGACAAAAAATTTAATTGGGCCCCAAGAAATGGAGATTATTGTTTGCACAAGAATAAGAGAAAAAAACAGGAGTGGTTAATTTTTTCTTTCTCCACCCAATACCCTTTGAACAAGTTGGTTAATTTTCAACTCCATTCAAAAGGTGTTGGTGCAAATATGAGCAGATTTATTACTCTGATGCCTGGTTTATTCTGCATCCCCAGAACCGTACATGGAGAAGCATTATTTGTTTTGTTTTTTTTAAATTGCCATGTTTCCATTTTTAAAATGTCAAATTATACGGTCAATGGAAATGCAGCAATTAATCAACACATTAATTGCTCAGTAGTAGCATTTACTCAAATACTTTTACTTCAGTGACATTATTTGAACAAAATTATTTTTTACAGTGCCCTACTTTTTACTTTTACTTGAGTAATTTCATTAGGAAGTGTTTATTTTCTTACTGGAGTAAAATTTCTGGATTTTCTAGCCACTGAATGAAAAATAAAAATGTTTCAACCAAAAATTGTCCAGACTCAGACACACACCTGCAGTTTTTGTTTCATTAGTTTTTTATTGAAAGACACTGATTTGGAAACTTTTTTTTTTTTGCTTGATTTTGTTTTTTTTTACTTAAATTATTAGTTTTACCCTTAAAAGACAAAAATTTCCATTTTATTTATTGGCCCGTCTGACGATGTAATCTTTAAACATGAAATAATTTGATCAATACTTGAATAGACTTTTTACCAAATACTATTTGCTTCTATTTGAGTAAAATATGTTGAAGTGCTACGTTTATTAATTAAGTAACATTTTTTGGCTACTCTCCCCACTTCTGCTTACTGTGTTGATGATGTAAAGTTTATTGCTTGATTCATAAATAGTGACTGTATTACATCTTTATGACAAAGTACTTTTGCAATGTGCTCTGCAAATAAGTTTGACTTGACTTACAAACTGATTTATGTTTTTATTAGAGAGTGTGACTACAAGCACTCTGCACCTTTATGTGTGAGATGCAAACATGACTCTCTCCAGAGGCAGAGGTTATGGAGAGACCAGCTCATTTTGATCAGGCACGCCTAAGGGCCGGGCGGAAGGACCAGAAAAACCAGCTGCCTCAGATGGTTCCTCTCTGCACAGCAAACGTAGAGTCTCCTCCTCTTTTACCCCTTCTCTCTCCTCCCTCCTTTAATACTCACTGAAACCGCACACCGACACACCTCTGCTTGGTTTTCAACCCTCTCCCTGTCTCACATTTTAGTTTTATTACAGCTGAAGTTGTGTCGTCTTCTTCCATTTCTCCAGTCTGACATCTTCAGCAGACCTGCTGTGATCCACCAGGCTCATACAGGTGGACTATGCCTCCTTCGGCCAGCTGACAGTGGGGGCACCGTCGCTGCTCAGCGCCCACCTGGGAAGGGCTTGAGCTGGAACAGAGGACTCCGTCTGGTAGGTCACAAAACTCTTTCTGTCTTGTTGAGATGCCTCTACCATGTTTAGGTATGTGTGAGTGAGTGAGTGTGTGTGTGAGTGAGTGTGCTGTGATTGAACCTGAGTGAGAACAATGCACTGCAGAAAACACTCTGTGGTGCAAATAAGACAAAACTAACTTATAAATACCTGCTGAGCTTGTTTTCAGTCAATATTTCATTAATATAGATGAAAAGATGTTAGTTCCACTGGCAAATTATTTCACCTTCAACGTAAGAATGTCTTGTTATTAGTGAAATAATCTGCCAGAAGGGGAAGAAAACAAAAAAAAAGCATATTTTAACACTTCACTGATTCAAGGTTTTGTTTTTAGTACTTTTCAACTATTTTTTTTCAACTATAACAAAATAAAATGTCTTATTAGTGAAATAATCTTAAATAATGTGCCTAGTGGAACTAGTTATTTTTATCTAAATTCAGGGAAGAAAAAAAACCATATTTTCGTACTGCACTGATTTAAGATTTTAAGTTTTAATTATAACATAGTAAAAATTTAAAATGTCTTATTAGTGAAATAATCTGACAGTGGAACCGCTCCTGTCTACCTAAACTCATAGAAGAAAACAAAAAAAAAAGATAAATTCAACATAACTCAAGTTTTTGGTTTTTTTGTGGAGAAATTGCAGCATGTGAAATTAAGCATGTCTCAGTTTTTATTCATGTTTTTACTTTTTGGTATTTGTGCCAGTTTTATAATATTTTTCTCTTTTTTTCTACGTTGATCAGCTGAGGTTGTTGTAAATATGTTATATAAACAAATGTTTCTGATTATCCAACATATATTAATAATCAACAGAAATATCAAACGATAATTTTGATTATCAAGAGAAGAAAGCCAAACAACTCCAGGGACCACAAACTTTTTAGTATTTTTGTTTTCATTTTTACCTGACAGTAAACATGATAGCAGACACATAATTTATTGATTCATAAATGATTGTAGATTTAAAACAAGTGGAGTGTTTCGGATACTGGTCCTACTTTCATCTTCATCCTTTTCAGGTGAACATTTACCTGTCAGCATGGAGTTCTTTTTCTGAAATCCCTGATACTTTTAGGAAACACTGAAATGTTTTCCAGACAGACGTTGTTATTCTTTTTGGTCTTTCTCCTGTGGCGGCCATTTTTAAATCCCTAGCAAAGGTTTTGTAAACATTTCTATGCTAATAGATGCTAATGAGTGTTTCTCATCTCATGGCTGTCAATAATGATTGATTTTTGATTTATCGCCAGGTTGATTTGGATAGCTTTTTCCTCTCCTCAATAAATTAAATCACTATATAACTTCAATGCTTTGTATTCAGACATCTTAAATTTGCTAGTTATTAACAATTACACTGCAAAAAAACACAAAATCTTACCAAGTATTTTTGGTTCAATTTCTTTTTTAAATATGTTACTACACTTGAGATAAGATTAAACTAACTAAAAATAAACTTTTCAACAAGATGTATGATATTTAAATCAATAATTTCTTAATATTTATGAAAAAGTATTAGCTCCACTGGCATATTATTCTCTTATAACATGAATTTTTTTTTCTCTTTTTTCAAAAATATTAAGAAATTATTGATTTAAAACAAGCAAGTTAGTTTTGTCTCCCATAATATTAATTTCAAGTGTAGCAAGATATTTGTGCTGGAAACTAAGCAAATGTTTCTGCTGTGTTTTTGATTATCCAGAGCATTTAAGGGGGGAATAGACATAGAGACACTTTTAAACATGATAACAAATGTAACTTGTTCGTTTGTTAACAAATCTGGTGTCCCAAACACGAGCACCAGAACCTTTTATAGCAGCAGCTACACAGACAAGTCAATCCTTTTGTTTGTCTTTTCTAAACTGCTCTTTCATTTCTGTCTTTCTTTTTGTTTTACACTCAACAGGCCACTTCAGACGCTTTCAATGAATGCATGTATCAAACTCCTGCTTCAGAAAGAAACCTCTGCTATTGCAATCTGTTTTGAAGCTAGTATCTTAGATAAAATTTTCTTTTTTATGAGAGATTTTTGTTCCTAGAGTCATAATATTTTAGATTTACCTCCCATATTTATTCCTTTCACTAACGTCGTGCTGCTGTTTCCACCGATCACTCGGCCAATGACGTGTCACGACATGAGACGTCATTCTGTTAATCCAGATCAATAAATGTCACAGCTAAATCTCTCATCAATGCGACAGCTGGAAAACAAATGAAGTGGGAAGTCCACTTCTTAGAACTCAAATTTCATATCTGCTCACATGAGGCTGCTAATAGGCGCTCTGTTCTCCTCATTAACCTTCTCAAATATTGACAGCAGGCGAAACCTGGCAAAGGTCACACACTGATTGTGTTTATGTGCGCTGGAGATCGTTCTGTGCAGAGCAAAGCCCAAATGCCCTTCAGCTTCGCCTGTTCTTTCCCCCGGTGGAAAGAAAAGAGGAAACCGAAGAGTTCCTGTCTGAACGAAAGGAGCACATGATTTGTTTACTCACGGCAGAAGAGAGGATATTAAATTTGTAGCGTTTGAGAATAGCTTCAGTTAGCAGAAAGAGAAATAAACAGTAAATACTGAGGCAAGACCAGCAAACGGGGAAGTGAATTTATCAGCAGCACTTGAATGCAACTGGATTATTTACAACAAAGCATGTTTACAATTAAAAATGTTCATGAAGAACATTTTTGTCCAAGTAATTAGAAAACTTTTCCAAAAAATCTGAGCAACTTAGCATGTAGACACGATGTAAAATTAGAGCAAATGAAGGACTTGGTCTAAGAAACTTTTAAAAATAGACCACATGAAAATGTTTCTTACATTGTTGTTTATTTATTTGAAAAGAGACAGAAAATACATGAAGGTGAGCTGTAAAGCTCGGTTTCATTTACAAATATAATGTAAATATTTGACATACAGATGGGTTAACAAGCTTTTTCCATCAAAAAAACAACAATAGTAATAATAGTAATTAATAAAAAAGCATTTTTAAAAATCTAAATAAAACATAAAGTTACACATTTAAAAAGAATAGATATCAACCTCAATACTGTTTACTGCAGGAACTATTAATATGATTGAAAACAACAGAAATGTATCCAGTCCTCTAACAAATTGGCTTCTGCACCAAAGAAACATTAACATCAAAAATAAATCAAAGCTAAAACATGTTGAACTGAAGTCCAGGATGTTAATCAGTGTCGTTCCCAGTCCTGTGCCAAATGCTATGCTAGTTAGCTTCATGGTTAGCCTCTGGAGGAGGATTTTGTTTCTTTATCCAGTGACTTCGCTCGCTTCTTCAACACGGAGCCATAATCTCCGGGTTCGGTGTGTTCTTTCTTTGTTTTTCCTGGTCCGCTTGTAACTGGAGTTGTCGGGACACCGAGGGCATGTAATCCATTCCTGCACTGCTGCTGGTGAAAACAGAACGGAGATTTCTGCACTTCTGCAGGCAAACTTTGATTACTGAAGGGTTTTTAACGAACTGAAGGGCTGCAGTGGGTTTCTGAGAACCAGACCTTTTGTTTTGGACACTGTGCAGCTGGAAGGATTTATTTTTCTTACTTTTCTTATTGTGTAATTGTTTTGTTGTGTAACCATGACAAGAAGGCATTGTCTTTACAACTGGGAGCAGCTGATCAGCATCTCAAAAGCTCAAATAATACCGGAACTACAACCCCAAATATCCATCAAATATGGAGCTGAAAAGAGTCAGTCAGAGGCCTGTCAGACTCGCTGCAAGACTGACTGCTACTGGAGATTCTTCCTGTCCACAGCATCACTGTTCATGCCAAATCTTTAAAAATTGTTTAATGATGACACAAGCTATAAAAACATTTAATTTCCTTCGGAGAAGTATTCAAAAATACCTAATTAATAAATTGTTTTACAAATACCTTATAAATGAAACAAATCAAAACAATTAATTTGTTTAATGATTATTCTGTATACCAGCTTTAGAGGTTTATGGTCTTAAATTCAGTCTGTCACACATTTTCCTCTTTGTCCATTCATTATTATTGAATGGACAAAAATAACAACAACAGATATATTTCCACTGACTTTAAAACTGCACAAATTTAAATTACAAGAATAAATTTGCTGAATGAAAACACTCCAATTTTGTTTATTAATGATTTATCGCATTAAATCATTAATAAACGATGATTTAATGCAATTTTTATTTGCTTTTCTTATTTGATTAAATTGCAAAATTGTATTTTGTTAACATTTGTTGTCATTCAGTTCTGAGAATTTATTGTAACCAACTAATTTCTCTTTTGTTTTTATGATTTAAAAAAGGATGTTTATGACTCCTGGTGCTTCTAATTGTAGAAATACCAGCAGCTTAGGATATCACTTAGAGATTCATTCATTTAAAACCTGGAAAGTTCCTCTCCAGTTGCAGTAATGACAGATTATCTCACCTCACGCCTCCAGTAAAGCAGCTACTCTCTCCTGAATCATTCAGCCAGCATTCTTCAGAGGAAACAGGGTGTAATTATTAGTCCGAGTTGAGCCATTATGTATTATTATGGAGCGGCATCGGGAAAGGGAGTGGCCACATGTGATTAGCTTAAGGTGTGAAAAGTGGGTGTTTCTCCAAGGAATTTGCAGCATCTCAATCAGCATCATCTGGCCATTATGTGACGCAGAAACTACAGTGGAAACATATCTGTCATGCAGCTGGTTTGTCTTTTGATAGAGGACAATTCACTGCAAGAGAGATGAACTGTTTCAGGTTTTAGGAATGCACCGATCCACTTTTTTCAACTTCTGATACCGATGCCGATATCTGAAGTTTAGAATCACCTGGTACTGATCTGTTACAGAAAAACGATGCTGAACTGACTTAAAACATTTATTTTTTTTAAACATAGACATAAATGTACTGAATTACACATTTATCTGGTAACTCTGAACCGGTTCAACTCCCTTAAATACGCCAGAAGCTTCACAAGCTCATGTAAAACAACTTTAACAGAAACTGACAAAAGCTATTGCTTTTGTCGGTTGACTGTCTTAGCAAAACGTGTAAAAAAAATAAAGCAAACTGCAGCAAACCTTCTTTCAAAATGTTCTAAATAGTAAAGAATGCCATTGATTACAGCAGAAAACATAGAATTAGACTGAACAGTTCTGCCATTATGGATTTTTCACCGATACCTGATCTAGATTTATGATCTACATTATAATACATTTACGAAAAGTTAAATTCTAGCACCAAAGATTTAAAAAGACTCTCTGCCTTCATCGTCAAGCTTGTTCAGTAAACTAAATAACGTCTCTTTACTAAGTAACAAACTCAACATTTATGCTTCAGACATCCAAAATAGAGTATATGCTGCAAATACTGATTAACCTAAGATTCTGTGATAATTAAATTTCTGTCTGTAGCGCCTCCGGATCGTTATCTAGGTGGAAATCAGGGAATTTTTAATCCTCCACCTCTTCTACATCTTCTTCATCTTGCATGAAGGAAATATTGTTTGCCAGATTCCTGTTTCTCCTGAAATCTACAACCATGTCCTTTGTCTTGCTCACAATCAAGATAAGATGATTGTTCCCACACCAGCAGACCGAGACGTGTCCGTCCTCCACTAAACTCAACCTCTGATTCACTTGATCCAAGACTTTAACAGAACGACTGAGTATTAGTGCTAAGAAGAAACAGAATAAAATAAATTTATGAGCATAAAGTCACAAAACTATGTGAATAATGTTATTATACTGTGAGAATAAAAGTTGTTTCAGTTGAATAAAGTCATTGTATTACAAGAAAAGAATTTATCTTTTGAGAAAAAAGTCATAACATCACAAGAATAAAGTCATAATATTATGAGAATAAAGTTGTAAATATTTTGGAGCAAATCTGTCCTTTTCTGTTCAATGTTCCTCACACAAATCTTTTCCATCGTTTGCTGCATAATATCCATCTTTATGATGCCAAAGCAGTCGCGTTGCCAACCTTTTCGGCGTACAATCCAATCACTTATTTTTAGCAGTCAGATCTGCAAACAGTGAATGATGGACGTCATTATTAACCTTTGTGTTTAATGTCGACACTTAAAGATTCATTGATGAGCAGGAAACTGAATAATTCGCTCAGCACACAGAAACATCCAACACAACTTTCATCTCTAGGTAATAAAAAATAAAAGTCATGATAAACCAATTCCTTCAACTTTTGTTTCTTCATTTTCATGTCAGTCAGGTTTCTTTATAGCCTCTTCAGTTTTAATTCCCATTGGTCTCCAGGACATGCAAAGCTTGTAAACATTGACTGTTAAACCGCTGCAGTTTCCCATAAATTATGGGATAAAACGTTGGTCATAAACGTGGGAAGGAGACATCAAGGAGAAGTTTTTTTTATATCATGCATCTAGAGCTGACTATGAAAATATATGCAGTTGATTGTGAATAGAAAAGTGAAAGTGATTAAATATGTGGCTGAACGTAAAAACAAAGATTATAGTCACTATTTTAAATTTAAAGATTAGGACAGATATCAGACGATACTAATCATTTATTTACGTATCGGTTTTGGTCCGATAAATAAAACCGAGCTGCTAAAAATAACCGATATCTATCTTCATCCTATTTCCATCTGTTTATTGTTGTTGGGTTTTTTTCTCCAAAGAATGTCAAAATGGTGGTGAAATATATTTAATATCGGCAAATATTGTTATCGGCGATAATATTAATATTGGTTATTGATATCAGCCCAAAATTTTATATCAGTGCATCCCTGGTACAGCTGCATGGATAACTTGAATACTTTATACAGGAAAACAAAAGCTTGCAAATAATGAAATTTAAAAAAAAGATCTGATCAAAAAATAAATGTGTCTTTTTTATCATTTAATCAAGTTAAAAACACAAAAATAAAAGTATTTGACTAAAGCAGAAAGGGAAGATTTAGTTGCAAATTCAAAATAGCTGAGCTGATTAAACTTGCAGCTGCCTGAATAAAGTAAATGTATGTCTGCATGTAAGTGTTAATAAAATTAAAAAATTAAAAAAAAAAAAACAGCATTTAAGTTTGAAAAGGGAATTTTACAGAAATTTTTAGAAAAACACCAGCTACATTCTCAAATTTTCATATTTAATTCCACTTTCGGTTTTCTCTTTGAGCCTTTTCTGTGAAGTTTACTAAAACTTAAAAACATTTCCTGTAATAACTGCAGTCAGTAGCAACTTTTGATTCACCTCTGTGGTTTATAACTTTATGTAGCCGAACAATATCTTTGTGAATTTAAATATTTTGCATAAATTCCAGTTCATTTGACTGGAATACTCAGACAGGTGGATCAGATTTAGAGAGGAAAGACGCAGCAGACTGATTTTATGTCCTGAGTTTCCGTCCGCCAGAGTTTTCAGCTTTTTAATGTCAATGCAAATTTGACAAGATAGTTCCACCTCTTTAAATGCCTCAAATGGCGCTTTGCAGCTTTACTGTGACTTACCTGAATTTAAAATGTTTACTGCACATCATGTGATAAGATATAATGTGATACTTTAGGGATAAATTTGAGAAGTGTAGCCTTGTTTCCATGTTGCATGAGGGAAAATTTGCACATATTAAATTCTGTTTAAAGCTGCAGCGTGCAACTTTGATAAAAAACACATTTTTTACATATTTGTTTAAACTATCACCATATTATGAAAGTATAAGATGAGACAGATAATCTGTGAAAGGATCAACCTCCTTCATCTCCATCCTGAGCTGCTATGAAGAAAACAACCAATCAGAGCCAGGAGGCGGGTCTTAGCGCTGTCAATCATTCTCAGGAAAACACTGTTATGTGGGCTAATGGAAGAACGATCATCTGCTAACTACCATGTAGCATTAGGGAAGGAGTAATGATTGATAGCGCTAAGACCCGCCTCCTGGTTCTGATTGGTTGTTTCTAGTTAGCACTGGGAAAAGACAATGGAGCTAGATTTTTTTCACAGATTATCTGTCTCATATTTTACTATTATGACAAAGTGACAGTTTAAACAAAAATGGGAAAAAGTTTTAGCTCTAACTTTAATAAAGAAAAACAAAAAGGTTTGAGGTCCTCTGCCTTCTGCAGCGTTGACTGACAGCGCTAAGACCTGCCTCCGGCAGGGAGCAGTGCATTAGCAAAGCAACACAGGCAGGAGGTGGAAGAGTTTGACCTTTTCACACATTATCTGTCTCATAACGACATAAGTCTCAGTAAATGTAACCAGTGAGTGACAGCTAGTGTAATGTTTTCACAAAAAGGAAGTTTGCATGAGTTGCTATCTCTGAGCGAACCTTTGTTTCCACCGGGAAGAGACGGTTTGCAGGGACCCACGGCTGTGTGCAGCTCATTTCCTGAATGGAGTGAGGGATCCTCCAAAACAACAGCGGATCTCTGCACAACACTAGATTAGATGGAGATCTGGAATCCACTCTGAGGAGGAAAGTCTGACGTTGCTTTCCATTTTATCTGATGAAAGCACTTTGAATGTGCCAAAACAGAGCTGTACAAATAAACTGGCTGTGCCACATGCTTCTTTCTTTCTTCCTTTCTTTCTTTATTTATTGCAAATATATTTTCTCATCTTCATCTAAGTGAAAACTAATGCAGATGTTCTTCAATATCTCTAATATGTTGAAAAAATCTGAAAGTTTTTCTTTTTCTTGCAGGGTTTTGCTGAAAATGAGTTCATCTGCTTCACCTACAGTTCCTTCAAACACAACCTCAGTGACAAAATCTAGAGAACAAATTCTGATCCAGAGTAAGAAGCAAGTTTACATTCTGTTCATGTTTTTGGTTCTTTGCCATGTCAGTTTATGTCTGGTGAACTGGAAAGTCTGTCATTCATGCAATAGAAAATATTTGCTCTGTTTTGTTTACTTGTAAGTAATACTGTTGCTATATTGCAACACTTGGTAAAAACTCATTTTCATTTTTTTTGTGGCAGAATGTATTGATCAAACAAAATGATAAAATATGAATAAGTCACTGTTTCTGCATTCAATGAGTTCTTCTTAAATATTAAATATCTTCTCATGTTGGTGTAATTTGGCAGCATAGAGACAAAAACTTCTTAGATTTGATTGATAAAATAACAAAACTGCTATATTGAAGGTTCTATTTATGTGTTGCTACAACTTTTATAGCCTAAAAAGTAAGTTTCTCTATCAGTCTAGTCAAATGAAACTTAAATGTTAGAAAGATTTTTATTATTAAAAAAATATTACTGGTAATTTAGCGTTGCTTGTATAGTAACTCAATACAAAAATTGCTGAAGAAAGCTTTCAGTTTGTAAAGAATCACCATGTTATTTCTATTTTTTATAACTTAAAATAAGGATTATTATAATAATTTTCAAAAACAATGATGGATTTTTTTTTTTCTGTGGGATGGAAAAAAATAAAACACTTCCAGTTTCCATAGTTTTCAAAAAACAGATCAAAAAATATATTAATGGTACTTTTAGCGATATTCTCTATAGAAATGTATTGCTAACATGACAGGAAAACTGGAAAAACACTTTTTATTTTTGCACAAACTTGCATGCATATTTAAAAACATTAGTTAAATCTTTATAACGTTTAATTAAAATTATTAAGAGCCATTGCAGAAGGTCTAAAAGAGCCACTTTCACCTCCAGAGCCGCAGGTTGAAGAACCCTTGTGCTTTTAACAACCAGAAGATAAAATGTGATTTTTGTAAATGTAGGTGAAAAGCAGCCGTTCTTCAAACTCATGTCTGTTTCTGTGTCTGGTTCTCAGGCTCTGGGGCGATGATTGCTGTCATTGTCATCGGCACCATCATCATTCTTGCTGTTGTTCTCATCATCCTGAAGACGTACAACAGGTAAGATGACATTCCTGCATATTGAATTGGCCTGATTAGACAGAGCTGGATCTATTTTTTATCACTTCAGGTAGAATTGGATGCTTTCTGCAGCGTTCAGGCTTTTCATCCGGGCCAGCTTGAAATATCTGATTATGATTATTTCTAGCATTTTTTTTTTGAAATATCTAAAAAAGGAAATTCTAGAACATTTCTAGGATTATTCTGATATTTTTTTCTAGAAATTTTTCAACTATTTAAACTAAAAAATATGTGAAAAGAAAATAGCAAAAGTCAAAACTTATCCTAAGTTTAAAAAGTCAAAAATTTTCAGAAATCTAAAAATTTTTCTAGGTTTTTTTTTGTTTGTTTTTTTGGATCAATCTCAACATTTTTGAGTTTGTTGGCAGAAATGTCCTAATACACCTTCATACTTATTTGATTTCTTACTGTTAAAATGTCGACATGTTTGCAGCCTGGTTGGAAAAATAACAGTTTTCTCGTCTTCTTGGCCAGACGGACTCATGAATCCAGACTGCTGGGGGTCAGGGCCGGCACCAGACCTCGTCCCAAGACGTCCCAGTCCACGGTTAACGGCAGCGTTCCTCTGAACAGCATGGGGGTCAGCTCCGTGTCGGGCAGCATCACCAACTCAAACCCAGTATCAGAGGACGGCTTCCAGTTGCCCAGAGCCGACGGGAATCACTCCGAGCAGTTCAGCACCACCAGCGACTACAGCGAGTCCACTGTGGTCACCGTACACAACACGCCCTCTCCACTGAACACATAGCGCACAGGCTGCAGCTCCACTGGCTGAGGTTTGAATTCAAACCAACACTGACTGAACCCTGCAGGAATCTTCATCGGCCTGGAAACTGGAGTGCTCAGATTACAGGGAACAAACTGTGGATTATGAAGGACATTATGTGAAGACAATCTGAAGAAGAAATGCAGTGTTTTCTGAGAAAACATCAAGGGAATGGTTCTCAACATTTTCTACAAATATTCGTGAATTTGTACGCTGCTCATTAGTTTGGAAACAAAATTATCACATATAAAGCAGTTATGGATTTAGTAGACTACAGCATAAGAGATTTAATTCCCATCATTCTGTCTTTGTGTTTTCCTCACAGAGTAGTTTTAGGTTTACAGAAAGTAAATATGTATTTCAATGAAGAATCAATGAAGATGTTTTGTTTAGCATCTGTCAGCAAAACCCATTGATGTGAATCTTTAAGAATTTGACACTAAAGTATTTTGCACTTTATTTTCTATGCTCCTTTGTCTTTGTTTGTCTTTCTTTTTGAGTCTTGACTAATAAAAAGTTCAATGTTTTATGTTTTAACTGAGGATTTAATTTATCCAGCACTGAGTAGATAAATAATAATGGAGTAGAATAAGGCTGAATCCCTTCAATGTTGCTTAGTTGCTCAGATCCAAACTCATAGAAATAACCTGATTTAGTTTGTCATTAACAGTAGCATCATTATCATAGACTAATTACTTAAAATAGCACAACTTTAATGCTTCTTTTCATCTAAATGCTTGACCTAACTTGAAACTAAATGATTGTTTTCAGCAGATTTTTAAAAACTTCCTTCTGGCTCATATAATATGAGCTCTGCAGCACCAGATAGTTCGTTATGTGGATCGCCTCAATATTATAAGAGAAGTCTTTTTTATCGAGATAATATGGATCATGTCCTAAATATGTGTATTTTTTTAGATGCTTTGTCTGTTCCAGCCCATTTAGGGCAGTTGTGATCGATTTTGCTGTTTTGAACTGGAGAAATCCACTTTCTCTGTCTGCATCATCTGGGTCACGTGTCTGAAACCCAGCAATAAAACATGGCATTTAAAGTATAAATATTCAATCAGACCAATAAAAATAAACATTTCTGAAAGAGGAATGTGGTCTTAATATTTTAAAAAAAGTAGCTGCCTAAAGGTTGTTACTTTCAAAACATACTTTTAAGATGACAAACAACTTTCATAGGGATGTATTTATGTGTAAATAAGAATATATATATATATATATATATATATATATGCTGTTTGGTATCTGCAGAGACAATTTGGCTCATTTTAACTCTGTTGGTTGACAAATAATTGCTGTTGTGCAATTTAATTATTGGATTTAACAAGACTCATTAATGTCCAAATGTGCCACTAAAAACTAGACAAAATGGATAGAAATCAATTCCCTTATTATCCTACCATCTACAAAGAAACAGTTTTGGATGACCTGACCCTTAAAAAAGTAATGATTAGCGCTGGAAGATGACAAATGTACTCAGCCAACGATTGTTTAGGAGTTACTGCGCCCTCTGGTAGAAATATTACCAGAACGAATGCTAGATTCACATTTACAAGTGAACAAAATAAAGAAATAGTATTTAGTGTAATAAAAATAAACGCGGCGTGTAATTGATATGTATATTTCAACTGGTTTTATATTTTTAAATGAAAATACCATTCACAGGCTACGCGAAAATATAAATAAATGTCGGTTGGTTTAAAAATATTAACGAACAACCAGAGTGATCTTGAACGCAACTTTTAGGCGACTAGGATGCAATTCACGTGACAATGGTGACCGTAGGTGAGTGGAATCGGTTCGATTGGTTTTAAAATACTATTCGCCATCTTTATTGTTGACATTGGATTTGAGTTTATTTAAAAGTTAAACTTTCTTTTCAGCTGCCTGGAAAACAAACACAGATGATGCTACGGAAGTAGCTTAGCTGTGTCAGGTGTAGCGAGTTGCTAACTTCCTGTTGTTTCTGACGCTGAAGTTAGCATCCCGGTCGGTTTTTGACTAAAAGGCTATTTCACTATTTCTAACGAATCTGGCTTTGATTCACTCTATTTTAAAAATGTCTAAAGGTTAAAATATGCGTTAAATTGCTTCGTAGCCATCACCGATGTTGTAATTCTGAAATCGCGACAGAAATTACAGAAGTTTATGAAAACTCAGAAAAGCTAGTTTTGAAGTTTTTGTTCAACACGAACAACATAATTTCCAAAACACAGATTGTTTTTCATTTCATTTAATTGTTTTTATTCAATACACAGTTGAATGTTTTGGTTTTGAAAATATAAAAAGGGAAATTGTTGTGAAAACTTCCTTCAGTTTGCAAAAAAGGAAAAAGAGTCATTTTAGTTTTGTTGCTTTTAGCTTTTTTATTATTTAAGAAGCTTAAAACAGTATTTTACTTAGTCTGTCATAGTGAAATATAATTCTGTCCAGGTTTGACTTCAGTAGGAGATGCTGCTTTCATTTTAGCTCCATTTTCAGTGCATTTTCTGATATGAAGCAGCAGCTTTGTGATGCTGAAGTGAACCTGATATTGAATGTAACTGTGTTTTGTGTTTGAAGCTGAGGTGCTGAGTTTGCTGTTGGTGTCGCTGCTGTGGGGCTGCACAAACCCTTTCCTGAAAAAAGCTTCAGAGGGGATAGAAAATGTGACAGAAACCAACCGAGTCTTTCAGCTGCTTGCTGAAATCAAGTTTCTTCTTCTAAACATAAAGGTATGTGTAAAACTTTGAAATATTTCCTGTTTAATTGAAGTCTTTATTGTCATTTGCTGAATCTTTTTTTTTTCTTTCTAGTATTTGGTCCCATTTCTAATAAACCAGAGTGGATCTCTGGTTTATTTTTATACACTATCAACAACTGGTAAGAAACAATTCAGAGGTGATATGACTGATGTCTCATGTTTACAACAGAATAAGGGCTATTTTAGGTTTCTTTAAAAAAAAAAAAAAAAAAAGGACAACTCAGAAAATTTTCAATTTATCTCAGAAATCTTCTATAAAAAGTGACATTTCTGAGTTCGAAAAGTTTAAAATGTTTTAGAAAAAAACTCAAATTTCCAAGTTTTTCCCGGTAACTTCTCTGAGATGGTTTTATTCTTAAAATACATTTTTTCAAGCAAATTTTTGACTTTTGAACCTCAGAGGTTTCTAGACAATTTCTGAGATTAATCTTAAAATATAATTTTTTTTTCTATCCAAATTTAAACTTTTCCAAATTTGACATAATAATTTTCTTTTCTGGCCAATTTTTGACTTTTCAATCTCAGAAATTTCCAAGCTTTTTCTAGAGAAATTCTGATTTTTTTCTTGCAAATTTTCAACATTTCAAACTCTTTTTTTATATTTCCATGTCGTCATAGAAAATTGATAAAATTGAAAAAAAAAATTCTAGTAAAATTTAGACTTTTCAAACTAGAAATGCATTTCTTTCTTAAAAAATTTAAAATGAAAAATTTCTGAAATTTTAAGTGGACATTTCGTCCTCTTTTAATATGCGGCCAAACAAATACAAATAAAAAATTCAGAGCTTCTTCTATCCAGATTTGTCTCTTGCTGTTCCTGTGGCGAACTCTCTCACCTTCCTTTGCACTCTGCTGACGGGAAAGCTGCTGGGGGAAGAGTTTGGAGGCAAACGTGAGTCATATGTTCTTCTCCATCCTTTGCAGCATCTATTATTCACCGTTTTCTGTCTTCATGCGTCAGTAAAAATGTTTTTCCTCCGCTCGATTCTGCAGGGGCCGTTGTGGGAATGTTCCTCACTATGACAGGCGTCACTCTGTGCGTTATAAGCTCCATCGAAGCCAAAGATACTGACAGACAGAACGAGAGCCACCCTCAGCTCTGATGGAGATCAAGATTAAATCATTTGTTGAAGAAAAGAAAAGCAAAGCTGCATCTTTAGGAGGACTGGAGGCAGAAAACGTCTCAGAAGAACAATCTCTTCCAGATGGAGGCAGGTTCACTCCAGAACTGGACTGGATTTATGGAGCTCACATTTTCTGATTTTACTTGGGAGATGACAAAACTGTTTGAAATTGACCTTTTATATGTCAATACCTGCTTTAACTAAATTATTTCCTCTTTTCCAAAGTCGGTTGAAGAAACACTAATAAAACCAGCTGATGATGCTCTAAATGTCCTTCAGTCTCTTCTGAATTTCTGTGGATTTCCTGTTTGCTGCTCTGATTTTGTGTGACATTAATTATTATAATATTTTGGTGCAATTACCAATTAGTATGTTCTTATTACTGCAAATATTTTCTATAACCTTTTTTCAAATGAAGGGTTAAGACTCCAGTTTAGTAAATCTCATTTATTTCACATTAAAATAAAACATTTCACTTCATATTTATTTTTTATTAAATATCAGACTTTAATACATAAACATTTTTTTTTATTGCTGAGTTGATTTTTTAAGAAACATTAAATTAAAACGACAGCTGACATACAAAGGAATATAAACTTTTTTATTACATGATTTCATGGATTAAAGAAATTTGTCACTGTAAATGACAAATTTTAGTCCTGAACTACTGACATAAACTGCTTCCTCAGTCAAGCACACCTAATTTTTATTTGAAAAAAATATTTTCTCATGTATTGAACTAACAATTTGCAAACAACGGATGGAAAAAAATATATATTTTCTATGACTTTAAATTGACTTTACATCAGAAATGATGCTCTCTACTTCCTGCCAAACATGAAAACAAAAAACCCAGAAAAAAATAAAAACTTTAATTCATAAAAAATGATATTTCAAGGATGGAATATTCTAGAAATTCAATATTTGCTTTGAATAAAGACAAGTGAACAACAATGGCACATATTAAAAAAAATGTAAAAACTTGATGTTTGCATGTTCTCCTTGTGCATTAATGGGTTTTCGGTTGACACAGCAGATCTTCATGGATTATTTTATGTTAAATTAAGATGCAGGGCTGAATGTTGCAGATTCCAACACTTAATGTCATCATCAGAGTTACTCTTTTTGAACAGGATGAACAGATTAAATAATCTCACTTTCAGCAGGTTTTTCAGAGATTTGTTGGATTTTGAGTAACATTTATTTCTTATGATTTAAAAAAGGCAAAAATCCAAACAATATAAAAACTTTTCTCAACATCACAGTTTAGATACTACTAATTTCGTCAGAGACGGCATTAAGCGTCCTGCAGGCTCTTCTGTCACAGGAAACATTAAAATCAGTAGAAAAGCAAAGTTTCTCCAGGATTTTATAGATGTGAAGTCGGCAGTCTTGCCTGCTCTTCCCTGATCTTCCCCTCTGACGATTTCGTCTTCAGTTCAGCCTCTTTCTAAACACAAAAACAGAAACCTGTGATCAGTTTTCTACAAAGCTGTATTAGGACCAGTGTGGATCCTTTTTTTTCCAAGTAAGAGTACATATTTGCCAAAAAACTCAGGAATTTTAAGATTAATTTCAGAAAGATTTAAGAAAAAACAGAATTTCTTTGAGGTTGAAAAGATCATTTGTGAGAAATTTTTAGATTAATTCCAGAAATTTTCAAGAAAAATGTGTGAATTATAAATTTATAAACTCAAACAATGAGATAAATTTTATAGTATTATTTTTTAAAAAAAGAAACTTGGAAAATTTTTGAGCTCCAAAATATATTTTAAAAAATTTTGATGAATTTTACAAATGTTCAAAAAAAACTTTATAGTTTTTTATTTTATGTGAAATCTCAATTTCTGTGTTTTTCAAGATAAACTAATATATAAAAAAACATTTTTTCTAAAATATTTGAAATTAATCTTAATTTCTGTTTTTCTCAGAAATTGAGAAAAACAATTCTGAATTTCCTGAAGATTTCTGAAATTATTCTCCAAATTTCAGAGCTTTTTAGATTAATTTAGAGTCTGTTTTCTTGTTACAGACAGATTGATGTGTGGGTGTTTATACCAGGATCTGATCTGCTGACTCCTGCTCCTGTTCAGATGCTTTTCCTTTTCATGCAGAAATAAATTATTTAAGCACAAAAATCACAGTGACCCAGTCAAATAGGATTCATTTGTTAATATAAACACCCACTCTCTCGCTCTACCTGCTTTCCATTGGGTTCCTGTTGATGCTTGCTGCTCACTATTTTCTGGATTTCTCTTGAGGGAAATTTACGTTTTGTAGTCAGAGAAACATTCATGCATTGTTCTTTTAACAGTAAATAGATAAATGCAGTCTGGCCAGAAAACCTGGGATTAGGTCACATTGAACAGAGTTATTTCCATTTACTTTTTATTTATTATGATAAAACGCTGCTCACTTGTGGAGAGTTCTGCACCGGATCCTCTGTGTTGCTTATGTCTTCATCTTCAACTATTTCTGCAACTCTCTTTAGGGAAACAATGAGAATCGGATTAAAATTTCATCCAAACCTCTGGCTTATTGTCTTTTATTGTGGCCGTATCAGAGTCGTTGCAGGTGAAACAGGAGTAAATTTACACCAAAATATGTCCTAGAAAAAAAAAATCTAGAAAATGTCTGCGTGGGAAGAGTAAAAAATGCTAGAAAAACTGAGAAATTTTAAGATTAATCTCTAAAATTTTCTGGAATATCTTGGAAATTTCAGAAAATTTTCAACTTTTCAAGCTCAATTTATTCTCAAAATTTCAGCTATTTTTCTAGTAAATGTTTGACTTTTCAAGCTCAGAAATATCCTTGTTTTTTTGAGAAAATTTCTGAGATAAAGCTGAATATTTCTAATTTTTTCTAGCTAATTTTTTTACTTTTCAAGCTCAGAAATTTCCAAGTTTTTTATAGAAAAACTGTGATTAGATTTAGCTAAAAAAATTCTGAGCTTATTCCAAGTAACTTTTCAACTGTTTAAGTTTAGACACGTCCTTGTTTTTTTCTAGAAAATTACTGAGATTAATCTCAAAATGTCAGATTTATTTTGCCGAAATTTGCTCCTCTTATATTTTCTTATCAATAATGGCCATCAAACGCCTTGCTGCCTTTCAGGTAGCAGAAACAGAGTTTCATGAGTTTTATTTCACTGTGATTGACAGTATTTTGATGTAATGAAACATAAATGCTAACCTGATCAACAGGAAGCTCTGTAGCCGTATTCTCGTCCTCCTGCACCTCCTCTGCACCTTGAGCCTCCTCTCTGTTTGTCCGATCCTCTCCTTTGGGCACACCTGGCTTACCTGTAACAAATATATACATATATGATAGAATTCCACAATAAAGGTTTCTGTTAGTTTTCCACTTGAAAACGGTTGGATTTACTATATTTTTACATATTGTTTTAAGTGAATAATTCTGTATAGACTATAAGAAATGAAACACTGAACAACATTTTTGATTAAATGCAACATTTCAATTGTTAACTTGTGTTTTATGACTTTATATTTTTGTGTTTTTATAATGTAAAGCACTTTCAAATGCCTTGTTGCTGAAATGTGCTACACAAGTAAACATGATTGATTGATTAATTTCATGTATTTAAAAATAATCTAGAAATTATTTTCAAATAATCTGCCACTACAACAAATATATTTTTAGCAACATTTAGGAATTATTTACCTAAAGCAAGCTCCTACATCTTGCTAAATAGTTATTAGTAAGTTAGTTTTGTCTCATTTTAAGTGTAGTTAGATATTTGAAATAGAAACTAGACCAAAAATACTTTTGTGTTTTTGCTCTGTTGCATGTTAATTTTGTCTTACATTTGTTTCCTTTGACAGATGAAACCCAAATAAAAAACACAAAGATGTGACGTTTTAATGCTATAATGTGGTGAAATGTTCCGAGGGGTTTGGGTCGGATTTAACAGCGTTCCTAACCTGGTCCATCGGTGAGCAGCGGTTTGCTTTGCGTCCTGTTCTTGCGAACTTTGACGGGCCGGGCGAAGTATCCGGACGCCTCGTCTGCTCTCTCTCTCCTGCTCAACCGCTGCGACGCCTGAAGAGCTGCAGCTTCATCTCCTGTTGACTTCACCCTCCGGCCATCGGACTGAAAGTCACGGCTTACAGCTCAATATACATTTCGCTAAAAATATACAGATTTGCACCTGAAGTTTCTCTCTGGATCTTTTGTTTAACTAACTAAAAATCCATCACAACATCACAATGAAACAGGGAGAGCTTCTCCTTATTTTATAACTTTATTTCTTGAATTAATAGAAGCAACATTTAATTTTCCTCTTGGATCAGTAGTGTTTTTGAGTTCAACTAAATTTGAGTTACCTCTGGGGAGTTGAGGAGAGCTGAGTCACTGTACCGATCTTCAGGACCGCTTCCTGCTTTTCTGTTCTGAGAGAAAAACAATTATTTGACTGACAAATATTCACAATTCACCTACACATGTCTACAGAAACTTGATGTTATGTACTATTCTGCTTTATGTTTTATAACTAATTCCCTTTTTTCTTACAGTTTTTACAGAAAAACATAGGAGTAAATTTCTACCAAAAGATAAAAATGTTGTGCTTAATCTCAAAAATTTTCTAGAAAAAAAATGGAAAATGAAAATATCTGAGTTTGAAGGAAAAAAAACAAAACTTTTCAAACTCAAAAATGTCAGTTTTTTCTATTAATTTGATAAAAACGAAAAAACTTTTATTTCTACAATTTTCTCTAAAAATGTTTGCCTTTTCAAGATCTAACATTTTTATGTTATTTCTAGAAAATTTTCGTTTTTTTTCTTTTAATTCACTAATATCTGTCAAGACTTTTCACACACATCAGTACAGGCTGTACTCTTCTATAAAGTGCTCATTAATAATAAAACAAGGCAACTAATTAAACGTATAAGGTGATTTTTTCAACCTGTGTTCTCCTCTGTAGTTTCCTCTTCTCAGGATAATGTCTAAAAACAACAAAAAGAAAGACTTGATCATTATTGTTGGTTAGTTTTCCAGTTTTCTGATGCTTTATGGTGGAATGAAACAAGCATAAATCCTCTCTCGACATACAGATTATGTAAAATACCTCTCTGCAGCTTTTGAAACCAGCAGCTCCACATAGGGAAGTTTCTTGAACCTTTCAGTTCCAACAGCAACGTAGCAGCGGCCGGTCTGCAACTCCCCAGCCGAGGAAACGGAGACTCCGTCCAGAGAGCACAGCCTGCAAAGAAACGCCGCCAAATCCCAGAGCACTACGGCCATTATAAGTAGTAAAAAAAAGAATGGATTTCTGCAAAAAAATTCATAATTTTCCAGAAAAAAACATAACATATTTTTAATATGAAAAGGTAAGAATATGCTAGAATTTTTTTTTTTAAATGTAAGATTGATTTCAGAAATATAATAGAAATAAATCAAGGAAAATTCTGATGATGAAAGGTAAAAAATTTGAAACAAAAAATTCAGAAATTTTAAAGATTAATCTCTTAAATTTTCTGGAAAAAAACAAGGAAATTTCAGAGTTTGGAAAGTTGAGAATTTGGCAGAGAAAACTTAGAAATGATGAGTAACCTCAGAAATTTTGTGGAAAAAACGGAAATTTCTGAGTTTTATAAGTCTAAAATTTGCGATTTGGAAAAAACAAAAAGAGAAATTCTGAAATTAATTTCAGAAATATTCTAGAAAAAAAATACAAATTTTGGAGATCTGAAATTTTTGAATTTCAAAAGTAAAAAACAATAAACGTTTTAAACTCAGAAATTCCCATTTTGTCCTAGAAAATTTCAGAGATTTTTTACTCCTTTTCTATCCACTCTGGCCTGAACACGACGTTGCATGTTTGCATTCGGAGGACTGCGTGTTTTGCTCCGTCTCACCTGCGCACCGCTCCCGTCCGTAAGCTGACTTTCTCGGTGATCAGACTCAGGATCTGATCCAAGTCCTGCTGCAAACTCCGAGGAATGATGAACCGGAAAGGTGGACACAGAAGATCTCCATTACGGAATACACTGAGCAGAGACGTTTAAAAGAGAGGAATACAATTTGAAAAGTTCCCAGTGAAAAATGTGGCCATTTAATAAGATATGAACTCAATTTATTTTAAAATAACAGTCAAATTATGTTTTATATCAGTGATTAAGTACAAAAAACATCACTGGTTGACAAAGATTTTTATTTTTTCATCTTAATTTTAATTAATTCCTTCATGTTTCAATAACTTCAAAATATGAATTCATTCTGTTCAATCCATCGTCCAAAAGAGGAAATATGGTGGTGGCAGTATTATGGTGCGGGGAATCAGAGTTTCAACATGAAATATTTAAAAGTAAAACAGAAGTTATTGTACGTCTGAAAAACAATTTCAGAGGTTTTCCTTTAACATAAAGTTTTAACTCAGAGAATCTGAATGATAATGCACACCACACTTTTCAGATTTTACAGATATTTGAAAAAAAAAAAGGACAAACAACTTTTACTTTTACAACATATACTGTTTTCTTTGCCACTAAATATTTAGGAACTATTTTTGTGCCTTTCACATAAAATCCCAATAAACTATTTTGAATTTTGCAATTGTCGGATAAGAAGATGGGAAAAATGTTAAATGAGTATGAAAGATTTGTGAAACATACTGTATAATGCAAGGAACAGGAATAAACTTCCTCCATTTGGCTGAAACGTTGGGCCTCTGGATGACTTTTACCTGGAGGCGATATTTAGAAAATCAAATGCAGAACATCACAGTCTGATCAATTTAAACACCACTCATCGCATTTACGCCGCCTCCATCCTCCAGATCCATATTCATCCCAGCAAACTCACTTTCCACAAACGCATAATGACTATTTAGATATTCTGCTCGTGTAAAGTCAAGTGCGGCAGCCATGGAAACTACGCTCGCTCTAAGAGTCCTTAGATGGCTTATTTACTTACCATGTCTGATTTGAGTTATCCTCTCAAAGATCCTTCACAAAAAAGCAATCAGATGCAAATATGTGTCTGATATCAGAACAAAGAAGCTGTTCTGTATTTTATCCTCTGTGAGGTCGCACTCGTTTTATTAATTTACACCCAGGCTGAGCATCAATCCAAGCCTGCCTGGACTCGCACATGGCCCTGATAGGATTGTGTGCGAAGCGGATGAAATGGACACACACACGTTTATTACACTTCTCCACGGTAACCACAACACTGGCATGTAAGACTTTAAAACCCAATGACTCTGGTTAAAAATCCAAATGAAAGAGTCACACGTTTATTCCTGAATGTTTTATGGTTTTCACAAAACACCAACGGATTACGACCAAGAGCAAAGAAGCTGCTCAGAATACAAACAATCAACAAAACACAAGAGTTTGTCTTCTTACTCTTTAGTTTAGTGGAAAAAAAGGACACAGTTGTAACTCTGAACCTTTTTTTCTGATAAAAACTGGTTTAATCTGCAAGGCTAATCTATTATCCACCTGTAGTTAATGACTCTATAGTAATTCATGGAGAAAATGAGAGAAGCGGCAAAGATTAGCCCACTTTTTAATGCAATTTACATGACAACCGCTGACATTAGTGGTACTGCAAGCACAAAAGGCTTAAATAAAAGCTTATCTCAGTCATTGAACACATTAAAGTTACTTTCATATTTGATGCATTTAGTTTTTAGACGCAGTAGGCAACAGAAGTGCTGAAGAAATGAACATTTTTCTCAATCAACATATTTATTATAGAGTTTTGTTAAGACATTTTTGCAGCAGAGGTTAGTAACAACTCAAGCAGTCGATGTGAACCACTTGGTCTCTTGTCACTTTAAATCCAAATAATCTGCTGTTGGCCTCGCCCCTCCAACACAACATTTACACTCGCACATGACAATGGCTGCAAACCGATGCACAATTATACAACCGTGCATCTTTGAAAAGCAAAAGTGGAACCTTGTGCACAATCAGTAAGAATGCAGAAAATCAACAACAAAAATATTTGTCTTTTCCAGCAAACATTGAAAACTAGCTGACCAAATGTGCTGGAGCTTGGGTTGCTAGGTAACAGGGCAGTGTCTGCTGATTTGTGACGTTACATTCTGGAGCTTTTTGAAACAACAGCTCATTTTCTTGAAACCAAATCAGATGAACATATTGCCAAACATTTTGCAAGGTGTTTTTAAAGAGCTTGGGTTGTTTTAGAAGACATAGAAACCAAAATAAAAATGTGCAACATGTGCATTTTGTCCCCTTTAACTTTATTTCTGAGTGATTTTACCACCTGTATGAACTACTTTGTATTAACTTCATATCAACAGGATGGAAAAGGTTAATGGGTTCAATACTTTACTTGCCTTGTGCTGCAATCCCTTTAGTTAGAGTGTTGTTAATGAATGATAGACAGTGCAGGAGGCCGCATTAGAAATGAGAAGCCTACCTGTGCTTCATTACGAGCTCCAGGTTGCTTTTTTAACCCTGCATGCAGATAGCTGCAACAAAACAGAAGACAGTGACGTTTTCTGGGAGATTAAGAATCAGAAAGTTCTCTGATAGAAAATTTTTTGTACTCACTCCAGTTTCTTGAACCTCTCGAAGCCGGCAGCGACGTACTGCGCTCCCGTCTGGAGGTCCTGGAGGTCTGAGACCCTGTGGCCCTGCTTTGGGGTGTACAGGGTCCTGACGGCCAGCGGGGCGCCAATGGTCTGTGTCACCTCGTTCAGAAAGGCCTCCATGGTGGCCACCTGACGCTGGTTGACCACAAACCTGCGTCCGCCGAAGAAGGGGTCTCCATTCCTGAACACCACCACGTTTTTGACCGGCGCGGCAGCCATCTCTGAGCGACATCCATTTATTAAAGGGAAATATTAATAAACTCTCACCAAACAGCTATTCTAAATCCCAATACAGCTCACTGAACTCTCTCAAAACATTGTTCAGCAGCTACACATTATGCAGCTTACCCTCTGACTTAACTGCAGCAAACACAGTTTAGTGACAAACCTACAGGAGGACGAGGTTCAGCACAGCCGAATGTGGAACTCGATCCCTTCTGCTGCTGTGGTCCGTCTGGACTCCCGCTCCCCACGTTCTGCTCCGATCTCTGCACCCCTCCCTCTCGGACACCACTACTACTTTGACGGCGGCGAGTATTTCCTGGTTGCCATGGCATCTGGCTCTGTGGGCCAAACCATCGACAGAAACCACAACAAAGACGAGTGACAGGGGAGGGGAGAGTGGGTGGGTCTCTGCGCTGTGGGCTGAATCAATAAGATAACCTCCACACCTGTTCATCTGTTCTCCAAAAACGATTATTAAATAAGTTTGGTACACTGAGGACATTCAAATATACAAAACTAACATCAGGTTTTCAGACCTACAGCTCCAGTAGGAAGTCTAAATACATTTATAATGGGTATAAATTTCTTTAATCAGGAGTTCTAATTAGGGCTTAAACTAACAACTATTTCAGTAATCCACCATTCTGATGATTAATCGAATAAAAAGTTTGAATATCCTGCAGATTTTTCATTCAACCAACTAAGCACTTTTTATGCGACAATAAAAATACATTAAAATATGAAAATAAATAGTGCAGAACCTTACTAAAATAAGAAAATAAACTCATCCTTTAGAGTATGCTTGTAGCAAAACATATTTCTAACATCAACACAGCAAAGGGCTAATTTAAAAATTATTTTTGTTATTAGCTGATAAGTAATTGAATAGCAAAAGATGCTTACTAGGATTTTTGTTACAGAATTTGAACCAGATGAAGCTAAAACTGACAACGAGTTTTGGGTAGAACATATTTACAGATATTTTTTCTATTAAGAAGAAAATGTATGTATTTTTTCGTACAGTTTTGGCTTACTTACTGCTCTCAGTATGTTGTCTTTTGTTTCAGCAAATGGCATATTCATGAGGCTCCGTACTCCAATTAACAATTAATTGATTACTAAATTAGTTGACAATTAACACAATTAATTGTTTCAGGCCTTGTTTTAAAGATATTTGCAAACCGTTGTTCTTTTAAGGTGGAATAATTTCACAACATACTGCCCAAATGGTCATTTCTACCATAACTTTTCACACTGGATCAAAATTAAACATACAGATTTTACCAGAGATTAACTTTTGAATTAAGCTGAATGACTTTGCTGACTAACTGATGGAAAATAATAAAATATTATTACAAACAGTCCATCAGATAAAGCAGAGATGTCTTTGTAGAAAAATACAATTTATTTACTTTTACATGCATGTTTTAAATGCACTACATTATATATTACATCATAAATAATAAATACAAATAATTTTCAACCCAGATGATAATTAGAGTGGGTCAGGAGCCAAAAGTTCAGCGTTGTGAAGTCTGTCCTTCAGTGATAGGTACTGTAAAGAAACATAAGAAAAACACTTTAAAACAGTGATTGTTGTGCAGCTATAAGCTAAAATTAGACGGTAGGATGAGCTCATTCTTGCTGCGTGGCTATAAATACGCAAAATATTAACACTGCCTAAGCTTTTCTGAAGTATGGAAAATGCTTTTGCAAAGCTTTCTTGAAACTCAGCTGCTACTTTCCCTGAACTTCCTGTGTGTTTCTTTAAGTAATAATTACATTAAACAATCTAATTCAAAATTAAAAACAAAGGTTTATTTTTCAGACTTTGCTTCAAATGAGACATTTTTTTAAATCTTTTAAAATTGTTTTGTTGAGTAGATTTTCAGAGAAGTTGTTCTCCTCTTTTGTTTATTTCCTACGTGTACAGTCTTTTTAATCATCACGCTTTTCCACATTTAAGCACAAAAATTTAAAATAAAAGTTTCCTGATATGTATCAGCTTTATCACTTTAGTTTAGAAACCTTTTTATGTCAACAATAAGTCATAGGCTGGTGTGGCAATTTCAAACGATACCCAAACATAAAATTTAGAAAAACCTTCAGAAATTGACACCATATAGGGATTTTTGGATCTCACCTTCTTCCTGCTGTCAATAGCTTGTTGAAGCCAGACCAGCTCCATGGTCAAAGTGTTTCTATGGAGACGCAGCGCGTCTGACGTTCGGGGCACTTCCTGCGCCAGACAGTACCGCTGAAAACCTGAAAGAAGGATCACAAACTCAAATATTCAGTTTTATTTCAACACAAATCTAAATGTGTAACTTATGCACTGTAAAGCTTTTGAAGGTGGTTTAACTTGAGAATGAAACTCCACCTGCTTTTGGTTTTAACTCAGAAATTGAAGTTCATTAAGTTGACTTAACAACAAGACGCAGGTTTTTTATTAATATTGAATTGTGAATTTTAATTTTAAATGTTGCAATTTAAGCCAAGTAATTATTTCACAATTTGCAAGAAACAACTGCCTTCACCCAGTTAAAGAGCCACATTTCTCTATTATATCACGACTTATTTTACTTTAGAATAATTTAAATTCTCACATGAACAAAATGTTTGATCTGATAATAAATTTTATTAAACGTCACAACGAAGGATACAGAAACATGCCGCTAAGCATTCTGGGAATTAATTCCCACCCTCGCCTTTTTCTTCTTTAATTTTCTTAAATGCTGAAACCTTAAATTAAGAAACAGCTGAAATAAAATGCGGAGAATGTTGAACTAGTAAAAAATGCTTCACCTTTCTGAGGGTAAACATTATTGTCCGGCTCTGGACTGCTCCAGACGATGGAGGACCTTCTTGTGCTCTCCATCATCCCTCCATCACATCTGAGAGGAATACTGGACCAATCCTCCCTTTCAGCTTCTTTCCTCTCTGGTTGGACACAGAGCTCCTGTCCCTCCTCATCCAGGGAATCTGGACTCAGGGAAGTGCTGACGTCCAGTTCTGGATCTGGTGGCTTCAGTAAACGTCTAGCAGGTTGAAGACATTCTCCATCCTGTCAGTACATGGATGAAAGTCTTGAAAACATTGGATTTTTGGCTGGATCTGCTTACATTTTCCATATCTCTTTGAATTTAATTCAAGTGTTGCTTGGATATTTGATGCTGGATAGGTGCAGGTAACTCAAACTAGGACCAAAAGATTGTTATTGTTTAAATTGGTGCACTCATTTATTCTATTTTGCATTTGGCATTTGTCCATATTTTGCTGGACAACAAATTATCCCAGAAATCACTGCAATAAATGATAATATTGTAGTTTTGAAACTATTTTCAGCTAATATAAATATAATTGAAAAAATATTTAAAGCTTGCCATCTCAAAGACTAATGAACTTTAATTTTGTACACTGGAACTGAAAGACATTTTAAATAGCCAAAATAAAACACAACCAAAAGCAATAAATAAAAAGGCATTAAAGGACCTGAAACCATAAATAAAATTGATTATGAAGTCTCTGTAAACAAAACGAGCCTTTAAAGCATATTAATTGTTAATCATTAATCATTTTAATTTAGCATACAATTGATTGATTTATTTGGCAATATGTTTGTTTGGTTAGCGCTAGTCATTCACGCAACAACTGATGTATTTTACAGGTAAATGAAGGAACAGAGAAATCAAATTATATTAAGACAAATATACATAAAAAGAAAAACACTAGATATAAGGAAAAGCAAGAAAATACAGGACAAAAATTATGTGATAAAATAAAATTGTATGTTTATGTGAAAGTGGCAGAAAAAGTTCTCAATATAAAGAAGCCAAAATCATTACATAAAAATAATTATACATAATTTTCAACTTGTAGAGCAAATGTGTCAAACTCAAGGCCTGCGGGCCAAATCTGGCACGCCATAACTATTCATGTGGCCCTCAAGACCACATAAATAAAACTTGAACATAACAGTTGTGTGCTTAAATTTATTTTATCATAGTATTAGATTATTAACTATCTGCATCAGGTAGAGTATGGTAATTGATTTGAAAAAGGACCAAGCATATTAATTCAAGTTTGTTTACATAAAACAAACTGATAATGAAGCTGCTTATTGTGGGAATACCCAGTTTTTCAGAGGAATATCTTGAATTAGATGGAAAGTGACAACCTTTGACAGGAAGTTACTTACTGTGTCTGTAAAGTGTGGGATGGATAAGGTCGTATCAGTCCACCTTAAATGGGTCAGATCTCCTTCTATCTCCCTTACGATCTCCTCAAAGTCCTCACCCGCGCGTCGCACTTCGGTTCTCGTGAGGTATCCGCGCGCATGCGCCTACAGAGACGACACGGTTAGCATTAGAGTTAAGTAAGTTCTATAGCTGTGCTAACAGCTAGTAGCATCTACAGGGCCCGAACAAAAACAGCAATAACAACAGTCAGTATTTAGGTAAAGAATATAACCAACATTTCCGCTTTACTGGAACATATGTGTCACCTGGAAACGTGTAATTATTTTGTCCAATTTGCTTCTGTCCATTGTTATGGTAACATGACAGCAGTTAACCGGAGAGCGGGAGTTGACTCAAACTTTTTTAACTACTTCCGGGTTCTAGCTTAAAAATTAAAAGCATTTCGATGAAAAGTATAAAATCCGTATGCTTCTCTCAACCGCTTATCCTAAAATTATTACTAATTGTACATTTCGTTCATTATGTTAAAACAACTTAGGTACAACCACAAATTTAAACCTGTAGCTATCGTCGGGGGAGTTTTATTTTGGAAAGCACGCCGGCGGAAGTGACCTTATGTTTGTGTTCGGGTTGAGATGTAGCAACTAGTCACATGGCACTTTTCTTCTTAAAGTTTTGTGCCACAGCTGATAAAAATGAGTGGTGGTTCAAATCAGAGAACTTTGTTCCAGACTTGGGGGGTTTCTGTGTCCCAGGACAAAGCGGTCCAATCGGGGAAGGATGCCCGAAAGGCGACTGGGGCGACCCGGACATCCTCCAGCAGAGCTCAGGTAGCTCCAACAAACCCTCCTCCTCATCAGCAAAAATCTCCATGGACAGTAGTTGGTCAGAATAGCACGCATAGAGCAGAGAGACAAGAATACATCATCCTTGAAGATGAAGATGACGATGACTTAATGGTGGTGGCTGTCTCTGAAGCTGAAAGGACCCTCCAGCTTGAGAAGAGTGACATAATACAAAATAACCATGCAACTGGACAAAGTGTTGCTCCTTTTAGTATTCCACCCTGTAGGAAGATATATCCAGATCTCCCAGGTTTTGACAGCTCCTCAGCTGACGTGTGGATCTATCCCACCAACTATCCTATTAGAGACTATCAGCTGAAGATATCAGAGGCTTCCCTGTTCCAGAACACACTGGTGTGTCTCCCTACTGGTTTAGGAAAAACCTTCATAGCCTCTGTGGTTATGTACAACTTCTACCGCTGGTATCCAGCAGGAAAGATTGTGTTCATGGCTCCCACCAAACCTCTGGTGGCCCAGCAAATCGAGGCCTGTTATAAAGTGATGGGAATACCCCAGGACCACATGGCTGAGCTGACAGGTAACAACCAAAACACACCAGGGATGCACCGATCTGCTTTCTTCACTTCTGATACCGATGCAGATAAATGAGGTACTGGCCGATACTAAGAAACGGTGCTGAATTGACTTAAAAAACATTCCTTTAAAAAAAAGCCACACACACATAGTTTGTTTATAACACACCTGATTATGGATATTAATCAGCTTAATCAGTTATTTAAATAATTATTAACTGGAGTATACAGACTCACTGAAAAAACAAAATTTTTCAGAGTAATAATTAAACCAAAACTGTATAAAATATATATACATTTTGCATTTAATATGGGGATGCACAGTTCACTTTTTTAACTTCGAATACAGAAATCTGAGGTTTAGTATCGGCTTACACCGATCTGATACAGAAAACAACTTAAAATGTTTCTTTCTTTAAACACAGACATAAATGTGTTTAAATAACATACATAAATGTGTTTGATAACTCTGCACCGTTACAACACTTAAATACACCAAAAGCTTCACAAGCCTGATGTAACATCTAATGAAAAAAAAATTTTATTTGTTCAATCAGTGCAATTAGGAGAAAACAGCCATGTAAAATAGATAAACTATGATTGATCAAAACAATAACTTAAGAAATAAACTACAATAAATGTTCTTTCAAATTGTTCAGGAAGTACAATTAGGAATTCTATGTATAACGTAAATAATAAAGCATGAAGTGACTCAGAGCACAAAGGATAGAATTAGACTGACTAGATCTGCCCTTATGGACTGGATACATTGTCACGTTACCCGATCTAGAATTTCTTTTCAATACCGGGACTGCTATACGGTAATATGTCTGGGCATTTATTTTGTTATTTATTGTGATAAATTTCTAATTATGATAAGAATTTTGATTTATTGTTGCAGTGATAAACTATTATTAGTGATGTTTAAAACCCCCAAAACTGTCCAGACTGTTATTTTTAGCCACTGCTTATTCTATGAGAGTATCAATAAATATCAATACATTTAAAAATATGATTAAATACAGTTACTGTTTGCAGTTTAGTTATAAGAATCACACTTTTTTATGTGAGTGGAGTCCTAAAGAAAACATATTACAGATGGATATGTTTTTACCTAAAAGGGGAGTAATAAATAATTTTTGTTGCTACATTTATTGTTGTCACACTAGTACCCAAAAATACAGTGATGAAACTTTAAGTCCATATTGTCTACCGTTATGATACAGATATCAATGTCTGTGCATTCCCAGATGATGCCCATCATTTCTGAATTAGCCGCTGCTTGCCAACATGGTTGATATTTGTGGCTTTTGCAGGCAGCACGGCAGCGAGGCAGAGGCAGGAGGTGTGGAAGTCCAAACGCATCTTCTTCCTCACCCCTCAGGTGATGGTGAACGATCTTTCGAGAGATACCTGTCCTGCAAAGGAGATCAAGTGTGTGGTGATCGATGAAGCTCACAAGGCATTGGGTAACCATGCCTACTGTCAGGTAACCAGTTTTCAGATCTTTACTTCCATCTGTCATTATAGCAATCAGTTAATCAGATAATAAAAAAAATTGCACATTCTACATATTTTTTATTTTACCACTTAAGCCTTATTTATACATTAGAAATGCATGAACATAAAAGAAGAAACATTCTGTTGCCTAAATATGTTATTTACTTAATGATTTTAAACCAGGTGAATATAAAAAAGGCAACTTGAGAAGTTCTGGATAAAGTAAGTTTACGGACAAAAGTGTTTTTATATTGATCCCAACTTTGACAAAAAATCTAGATAGAGTATCTGACAATATCGCTGATCGGTACAGGAAGATCTATTCAATCTAATTCTATGCTATTCTGAGCGACATCCTGCTTTATTATAAATTTTTACATTATATTTAGAATATTTGGTTTTGGTCTTTCATAACCATTTTAAAGGTTTGTTGCAGTTTAATTTTGCTTTTGACCAAAGTCAATCTATAGTTTTGATCATTTTTTTATTATTTATCTTACATTAGCTGTTATATATCTAATTGCTCTGAGTGGATAAATTGAAGTTGTGTTTTTATTACATGTTTGATGAAACTTATAAAGCTGTTGGTGCATTTAAATGAGCTGTACTGGTGCAGCGTTATCAAATAAATATGTAATTCAGCACATTTGTAATTGTGTTTATAAAAATACATTTTAAACCTCAATATTGGTATTGAAAGAGAAAAATGTTAATTGCAAATGATTATATACTTTTTTTCTTTACAAATGACTTCATTTTAAATTTATATATTCTAATTAATAATAAATAACTTAGTTAATGATTATTTCAGTAATCAATTAATCTGATTAATTGTGTCATACACTAACCACCAAATGCTAATGTCCTCAATCCTTTGGGTTCATGCCCAGACTAAATCCCACACAGGTGAAATCAATTAACTAATTACTGTTTTTATTTGGATGTATCAGAGTTAATGGGGCTGAAAATAAACACTTGATTTTCTAGTCCATTTTTCTCTCACTCAGGTGATCAGACAGCTGAGCAGTCAGACATTGCAGTTTCGCATCCTGGCCCTCAGTGCCACTCCAGGAGGAGACACAAAGGTGACCTCACCTCGTCTGTTTTTCTATAATTAATGTGACTTGAGTTTAAATCACCACAGTAACCAATCTCTGACCCCTTGACGCTTTGTGCCCTTTTTCCAGTCGGTTCAGTCCGTGATTTCTAATTTGCTGATTTCACACATCGAGCTGCGGTCAGAAGAGAGCCTGGACATCCAGGCTCATTCCCACCAGCGGAGTGTGGAGAAAGTGGTGGTTCCTCTGGGGGAGAAACTTTCAGGCCACCAGGCTCGCTACCTCCAGGTAGGAACATGCAGAACAGTTTCATCCTGAAGGACTCGCCTAATTGATTCTAATTCAATGGATAAATATTAGAATATCACCCAAAAGTTAATTTCATTCAGTAATTTCATTCAAAATAAAATCTCATGCATAGATTCTTTGCTTGCTGTCCACCAATTTATCAGCCGGCTGATAATTTTGGGAGATTGGTGATCGACTGATAATTAGAAGTGAAGTTGATCTTATCCACTGGTCTAATCAACCTCGCTTTCCTTCATGTTGTAGCGTTTTCCTTCATGTTGTAATTGTGCTTTCAATGTGCTGAAGTGGTTTGCACCTCTTATAATTAGACTGTAGGTTAAATAACTCGAGGTTTGATTTGTAATGCTGTGTAATGCACTGTAGATCCGTTTTAGGTGTTTTGCTGCCATCTTCTGGATATTTCTGGGGGGTTTTGTCTTGATTTGTAGTAAAACCTCAGCATCACATGGCTCTCCCCAGGCTTTGTGGTTCTTTCTGGGTCAGCTGAGATCAAAAGGATTGATTTTTCTTGAAAGCATCTTCCTGTTTGATTCTGGTCAAGCTGTTCCTGCTGCCAGACTGCGTTTCGGGTTATCAAAAAAGCCGACCTGCTGCTGGTCCTTTTGTCTCGGCTAAGTTTCTGCATGTGTTGTTTTTGTAAATGTGCAGCGAGACAGGATTTTCTGAAACATGACGTCTGCAATTTAAAGTTTAGACTAGTTTGCTGATTGACCAGCTTTTGTCCTTTGCAGTTTGGCCAGTGTTCATCTTGACTCCTTCTCTTCTCTCCAAGTTGGGTTTGAGACAGAGGGAGTTTTTGTGAGTGAACATATAGGTCAGAAGTAATGTTTTATTTATTTTTTAAAGCTGTAAACATTTTTATCGGTTTTCCACGTCTCTTTCACTATAGTTTTGTGTTTCCACAAATTTTCCGGCTTAAGTTTTGTCAAATCTTTTGTACGATGTTTCTATGGGATGCTGAAGGTCAGCAAGAAGCATTAAATAGCGTTTTTATGGAGAAATACTTTGTCATTACGCAAAGTATCACCATGTTCTAAATGGATTAAGATCTGGATAGTTTCCTGGACATAAACCAAATGTTTTAATGGTTTCGTCTCTTTGCCTCCATGACATGATGCCCAGCTGTCATGGAAAAACATAATTTATAACCAGTTTGCTCCTTGATCCTACTCCTTATTTATCACAGTGCTTTAGGGAAAATTATTCCTTGGGAAGCCTCAGCGACTGCGTTCCTCACCTTTCCTTCATGTTTGAGAAGAAAAAACATTTCCATTTCAGTCCTTTCTTGGAGAGATACTGCTTTTTTTGCCAACCGTCTTAATATTTGATGTTACATTTCAAAGGAGGGCTTGATTGCTTACTGTATTTAATCTAATAAAAGCTGTGTGTGATAAAATTCACATACATCCATTTTATCTATCTTGTGTTAATCAGTGTGATTATGTGCAGTTTGTGGATGCGGTTCATAGTTAAACTCATTTAAATTCATAAACTGTTTATATTTAACACTACGACTAAATCCTGGAGCAAAGCTGCATCGCATGGAGGTAGCGGTTAGATGCTAAGATTGCACATGTCAAAAGACGGGACACCAGCACATTTTATTGAACAAACAGAACACAGTAGCACTCATTTGTTGCACTTGAACTTTCACGGTACATATTATCACCCCGTTGCAAAACACTAAAGAAAACAGAAGCATGAAAACAAAGCAATATCTAAACCCTCAAAAGGGGGCAAAAATCTGTATTTTCAATGGCTTTTATGCACATTAATGCTACTATCATTTGATTTAAATGAATTCTTTGGATGTAGATGCTCTGTGGTCTCAGCTCCACGCCAACACAAAATGCCATTTTTGCACAACTTTTGCTGCATTTTGTTAGAAATGCACATTGTATTAAATGGCAGGACTGACTATAACAGGCGTTTAAACTCTGCTGGCCAATGATGTGTTTTGCCATTGGATGGACATTATGTCTTTACTGCCTCCATTTAATACACAGCAGCTTTTAGAGTTGAAGCTCAGGACGAGTTGTGATTAAAGAGGGTAGCGTCACTGAAATATTCCACAATAATACCACACCATCATGTTTTTCTAATATCGTACAGCTCTACGTGTTATTAAACAAGCAAACTTAGACCTGAATCTTTCTTTTTCAGAAACAGTTTTCAGCTGCATTTCAATAGCTGCGTTTCCACTAATGCACCGCAATTGCAAAACACAAATTTGCAATTGCGGTGTTTCTATTAAATAAGAAATGGAAATGAAATCATACATAAGTAATTAAAAAATATTTCACGCCATCATCCACCAACGTCTTTCTGTCGTCTTCCTCTTCATGGTTTGTGCCTGTAGCGACATCCGGTTGTGACTTGTGTGATGCAAAAAAATATGTTTCCATTGCAGTTTTGTGAAATAAACCAATTTCAATTTGGCCAAAATGCCACAACATTCTAGCACCAAAAAAATGTTTTTATTTGTTTTTTTTCAAAATTGGCATGTTTCCAATAAACAAATTTATTTTGGAAACGTCAAATTGTGAAATCATATCAGTTTCCCCAAGAGTCTTGTAAACCTGGCTGTTCACCAGGCTTAATAGACATGCTTATTTATAATGTATTAGGATGAAACAGCTGAAGTGCAAAAAAAAAAAAAAGTAATTGTATTTTTTTTAAAGACTTTAAAGTTGGTGTTTTAGGTGTTAATGATATTTTCAAAGTTCCTGCCAACTTTAAACACTTTTCAGCTGCTGGACGACTTCCTTATCAGGTTTTCTGGGGGAAACCTGTATATGGTTAATAGAAACGCAGCTATAGACGCTCCATACTGGAGAAAAACCATCACATAGTGATCATTTATCAGGTCTACATCCAGTTTGATTTCGACACAGAAACAGAAACGCTTTCTTTAATCGGAGACAGAACATCAGAAACATCGTCAGATTAAAAACATTAAAATCAGCTTTTCTAATTACAGCAAATATACTCAGGATTTCTGTGGCTTAATCATCTATTGAGCAGCAGTAGTGTTTGCGATGCACTAGCGAACTCTAACACCGACACAGAGTGGCCAGCAGAAATACACAACAGGTACTTAGAAATACTTGAGTTTGTATGTAAACAAGTCTTGGAACCGGAGGAATGCATTAATCTTGGATCACTAGCTGAAACACGCTGTACAGAATCTGGTGCCGGTTTTGATTGTCATTTAGCAGATAGATCTGTTGGCATTTGGTTTGTTGAAGTGTGATGCTCTGGAGCTCTACATTCATTTACAAACACGTCACCTTCTTTCTGTGCTTAGCTTAGGCCACTAGCTTCAGTCCAGATAAAGTCTTCTGGATCTGATCAGGGCCTTGAACTTGCTTCACGCTCCCCAACCTACAGAAACCAACTTGTTGCTTTTAAGTCATCTAAGAAATATTGCACTTACTGTTGAGGGAAAGTGTGGTTAGCATCCCGTTCACCTGTAAGATGTGTTTTATTTTATTCCAGAGGAACAGCCTCAACATGGCTGAGCGTTATTATGGCTACGGAACAAACTGTGCGTCCACTGCGAGCTGCTTCCTGTGGATTGACTGACCTAACCTCAGTGGATCACCGAGCGCTAACAGATGAAACTATCACACTTTACCAAAGAGGGCGCATCCAGCTAAAAGGAGAACAAACTGCTTCGTTTAGCATTGGTTTGTGTTGATGTGTGTATGTCAGTGGTTAAGATCAGGCGAAATAAAAATCGATCTAAAACGAAGGAAACGCAAAGATTCTTTTTTGTTTGTTTTAACTCAAAACTGTTGAAGTATGCTAGGCTGGTGGTTGTTTCAGGGGACGGATGGTGACTTAAAACGTTCTGGAACCTGAAGCTGTAGCTGAGCTAGCTGGGGCAGTGTCAAGAGTTCATGAGGCTTGAGGGTCACAGGTAGGATGGTTCTGTCCGGTCAGCGTCGCTCCAGGAACCAGATTTCATTCTGACGGTTGCTGTGAGCCGGGTTGGTGTAGCCGGCCACGATGAACGAGTCGTTGACGCACACGCCAGGGGAGTCCAGCAGCTCCGCCATGGAGTTGATCTGGTTGATGATGGTGACTTCATTGGTGGGACCAGTAAACCCCCTGGTGGAAGGACAAAGAAAACATCTCAGGGTTTTATTTTTATTCTCAGGCTGTCCACACATCCTTAAAAAGTCTTACATTCATGTATTGGAAATTAAGGCCATAAAAGGGTCTTAAATTTAATAAAATAACGCAAGTTGGCCTTTAATACCGTAATCATGAATCTCACATTTTGTTGTGACAGGTCTATTTAATCTTTTCTGTCAGGCGAAAGTTTATATCTGAAACGATTAATCAATTATTGTTATAATAGTCAACTAAATTAATAATCGATTAATCGCTAAAAAGACTGAAAAAAGCCTCTTGGCTGAGAAAATAAGACGTGATTAAGCCAGATATGTACAAAAGTTTATATTCAAGGTGAAAAACTTTGCCTGTTAATACATTTTCCCCACACTTGGAGAGTCCCAACACATGGCATGTTATGGTGACGAAAGTTGAACATTTTTCAACTTTCTGGTGTCGTGCACAGCTACGTGTACGAGCTAACAATTTCACATGTCATTGGTCGGTTAGCTGGAAGAGGGCAAGCAATTGTCGCAAACCTTAAGCACAACTTTATTTATTTGTGTTTGCCAATTGCGCACTTCTGTTGCCTTCTTCAAACCATATGCATCCCATACAGTTTTTTAGCCTTAAATTTAATTGCAGGTGACACTTTAAGTTTGACTTGCTTCTATTCGCTACTAACCTGGTGTATACAGTAGCGGCTGGCCAGACTTCGATGACGATCTCGTTATCGTACGGTTGTGGCGGCTGGGCCTGATGCTCAATAGGAAGGTAGTACGCCACAGTGACATCCTGGGAGATTACTGAGTGGGTCTCATCTGTCCGCACTATTGTAACGATGGGCAACGTCATACCAAGGTAGTCTCCTAAATCAGACAGACATTGGAACAAGGCGCTTTTCTTTCCATGATCCACTCTGATTGGTCATTAGAAAGCTAAATACTGTCATATCTGTCATCTTGTGCTTCCTAATAAATTATGGTAAATAATTTTAAGATGCACCGTTGCTTTTGGACTCACCTAAGGAGTTCTGCTGACAGATGTATCTCATTAATCTCATGAAACCGTAGCAGATGCTCTGTTCGTATGTGTCCTCATGCATAGTTATGCAAGCCCAGTGGCCCTTTTCATAGTGCCGTTTCTCATAGAGCTGCTCCCCACACTGAGAGGGAAATGGCAGAAATGTAAACAAGATCCAAGCAAATATTTTACAAATAAAATTAAATATAATGTGTGAGAAATTTCAACATTTTAATGTTTTATTTGTTATTATTGATACATTTCTTTACTTTGAGAATCTATGTGCATTGAGTTACTGCCTTAATGGCAGCTGCATCTCAGTAAAGTAGAATATCATCAAAAAGTTAAACTCAGATTCAGACAGTGAGAAATATTTTCAGATGTTTACTCTTGATCATTTACTCAAGCCCTAGTGAAACGCTCTTGATGCTATCTCTATACACAGTTCAATAAGTTTAGCCCATTTTCTAGATTTGGCAATGTGACTTTGTTCTCAGGACCGCAGTTTTTCCTTCCACTCAAATTCCCATTAAGATACTTGGATACAATTCGAGGGTACCATCAGCTGTGACTGGATATTTGTCCAAGTCTTTTCTGTGATTTTATTACATTTACTGATTTCAAAATCTCCCATTTAATTAGTTTTTTAATACATACAGTAAAATTAACAGAAATAAAAGCTTTTCATTTCAGAAATACACAACTCTTTGATGTTATTCTAAGTTATTGGGACGCATCTGTGCATTTTTTTTATTTTAATTCATTTAAAATTCACTTTGTCTTGAAACTGATTGGCTGTTTGACTAACCCAGGAATTGTTGCTACCACATTACAAAGGTTTTAAAAAACGCTCTAAGAATAGTTTGCCACGCTTGGCCTTTGTTCAACCGGAGTCTCCAGCCAATTAGCCCTTTTTTATTTATACACTTCCCTAAGGAGTTTAAAGAGCTTGGGCGACTCAAAATGTCTGCACATGACTGGGGCAGAGCATTTTTATGTCCCGAGTGTAAATATGTGCATGTTATGAACATGAAATAAAAGAAACAAAATTTTAAAATATTTGCTCTATTATAATTAAACTACAATTCCAGTAAAATGTATATTTTCTTTCCATTATTAGTTTAATAGCTACACTGAGTTGCATGTAAATAAGGGTGGGCAATATGGAGTTAAAGTTTTATCAATATATTTGTGGTATTTGGTAATGATAAAAGTGACATTACTTCTCTTTTCGGTATAACAAACAAAAACACTCTTGAAAAATATTCTCATTTGTAATACATTTCTTTTACGACTGCAGTCACATAAATAAGTGGGATTTGCGTCATTAAACTGCACACAGCAACTGCATTTAATCATATTGTCAAATTTATTGATATTGTCATTGAACAAACAGTGCAGTTTATAATTCCAACAGTAACTGGAATTTATTATGACAACAAATTTATCCATCACGATAAATGACAAGAAAAAAGCTAGCATGATAATTTTTTAATAACATTGAATAATACAAACTAAATGCTATTACACCTGGAAAAGCTCTACTATTTGTATAGTTATAGTGCCACATTTGGGAAAAAAGATTTAAAACTTAACTTTTTACTGTAAATTCAGTGTTTGTCTGCTGTTGTTGTATTCAAATATATCATAAAATAATATGAAACACTTAATTTTACAATCCAAATAATTAATTGCTTAGTTTGTTACTGTTGTAAAATCAATAGCCACAACAACAAAAGTAGTATGCTAATGATATCAGCTTTACATGTTAGTATGGGGGCTCCAAGTGAACATCTGCTCCAGGTCACAGAAAGTCTTGGCCCGGCCCTGGCACTTACATGTAAAATCCTCAAAAGATTGAACACTAATTTTCTAGGTCCTGTTCCTCTTGCACTTAGGTACTTCAAACGAGGTCACCGAAATAATTACTAGAATAACAGCATAAAAAGAATGGGTTACATAATTAAAGAAGATTAAAAAAAGATGGGTACCTTCTCTTTTCGCAGTAGAAGAGTGAATGGGATGTGCTCTCTTTGACTACGTCCTTGGTTGTCGCTACTTAGCTGCTGAATTGGTTCTGCCATATCTGTTGAGCAGAGAAAACAGAAATTGATCAATTTTAAGGCCTAAGCAATCAAACCTGGTCAATTAAATTCAGTTTAATCCATGAACTAATTCTCAGATTTTTATGTTTTGCATCCAGCGCAGCACATGTGGTCCTCCTGTTTGTAATCTGCATGCAATGCCTTCGCCCCCTGCAGCTTGTTGGCTGGTAGTGTTTGGGTTTTGAGTGAGGTTCTGCCAGTAGTGCCGGAGCGCATGCCAGGGCGCTGCTGGGAGTAGCATTCATGAGAGCTGACCCGGCCCAATGCCAGGAACAGGAACACACCGGCATTAGCAGCACAAGTCAGCGTCTGATTCCAACTGGACAAACTTGAATTCAGCCACAGGAGTTTAAACTTGGCTCAGTTTTTCAGTCATAGTTTAATCGGGTTTTGTCGGTCAATGCCGTGAAGGGCAACCGGGTCAAAGCGACCCGTCGTGTTTAGAGGATCAATGATTCGACAGCAACCTAAGCTGCAGTAGAGAGTCATTAACTGAGGACTGATGCATTTTAAAATATTGTTTTATCTGATTAAGTATTTGTACTGCTTGTACTTTTCCATATTTTTCCACCCTCCCACCACAAAATAAAATATACCTTATTTAAATCCAGGTTTTACTAGGCCCTGTCACAATAATGAATTTTGCCAGAAGATGAAATGTCCCAGATGTTATTGCGATAAATGATAATGTTGTTGTTTTGAGACCATTTTGAAGTAATGGCATAATAATGCAAGAATACATTCTCAAATAGAAATAATCTTTAAATTCTAATTAACATTTATCACTGGAACTGACATATACGAAATAAACAAAATTAATTTTGAAGTTTCTGTAAGTCTCAAAATTGTGTTGAGACCAAAGCACCAGACTGAAGACTTTGTCATTCAGCTTTTAAGAGAAAAACAATAAATCATGCAAAAGGAAATTATTGAGCTCATTTGACTACTTTATGCAATTAATTGATTTACTGGTTTATTAGTTATTGTGACAGAGTTTGGACTTGCATGAAGTGACAGAAAATAACATGGATTTAATTTTCCATTTTTACTAAATTTGAAAGTGATGTATGTTTACTTATTCAGCTTCCTTCCTAAAAAGTCTAATGGCGTAAATTTTAACATTCAGGTTTTGCTACACATTCTAAAGTTGAATGTAGGTCTAGACTTTGACTAGGTCATGCTTCGATCTCTAGCTATTTAGGGAAGGTAAACATTGGCCTTAGTCAAATATTTTGCAGCCTGTTACTTATGAATTAGGTTTGTTTTATTTCAAGTGTATTAATATGTTCGCGCTAGAAACTACACTAAAAATCTTTGGAAAGATTTTGTATTTTTGTAGTTAATTGCATGTCAGAGAATGCAAAGAGCTGCTAGGATGCAATATTTTGTTGTAACTTATTTAAGTTATTTTTGCATTACTTCAGAAATCTATGTATTTTTTGTTTGGTTTGGAGCTCTGTGATCATGTCAGTGCGATACAATATCAGAACTCACTCTCATGGGGAACCACCGGCTCCATCTTAACGTTTATTTGGATGGTGTTAACTCTGTCATCAACTTTTATGACATCGATCTTCTCAGAGTTAGAAAATCCCTGCAAGTGGTTTTGTACTCAGTTGATGATGAAGGTCTGAGGGTAAAGGGAGAATTATGTTACAGACACTTCTACTGGAACCCAGTGGACTCACGAACTGCATTTACAAACAGGTTAATAAAGCAAGAGTGGGCGCCATGTTTTGATTTGTGTTACGCTTCAGACTCGGTCCACAGATAAATACAGCAAATACACATTTTTATATGCTTTGGCCTTTTATTCACACAAAAACTCGGTTTAATATCACTAAAAATGATTATAAAAACTCAGACCAAAGTGGAGATTGAGAAAATGTTTGCATGTGAACATTTGTTGCATTCCGGACTGCTACAAATAATGCGCCAATCTAACCACCTACTTTTTTTCACCTGCATCCCAATCCACATCGTCTTAAGCTTTTTAACTTTATATTTAAAAATTGTTCAACCTTTAAAAACTACATGTTTAATTCTTGACAGGAAGTCATTGTTGTTTTGATGCGAGCTGATTGGCTGAGCCAGGTTTCGGCTTTGCTCTGCACTGTGTTGGCATGTTTAAAACAACACACACCGGTGGATTTGTGCTGGCTTATGTGAATGAAAACTTTTCTGAAACCGATCCTGTGTGTACAATATTACTTTTCACACAAAACTGACGAGAGCTAAGATTTGTTTTTAAACTTGTAAAGACATCTGAAATCAGCTGTTTGAATTTTAATGTTCTACTTCTGTGGGTTGTCTTACTATGTTGTGTATATGCAAAACTGATGGCTAAAGAAGGAAATTGTGGCACATAACTCCAATTTTAGAATCTGTAAATGTTTAACAGGTAAAATTACTGGATCAAGTAGAGAGATTTTTCTGTAGAGCAGCTTGCTTTAAAATTTGAAATCAAATATCTATAAATGGTCATTTTTCAGGGAGATCTAACTTTTCTCCTGAAAAAAAAAACACCAAAGAACTGACTGCCTTTTGAGGGCAGCCTCCTCTTTCTGAATTTCTGTTGCTACAAAGCAGCTGTAAGCTGAACCGATAAACAGGAAGTTAACCCATAAATTTATTGGAGAAGTTGTTGAATTACAACTTTAGTTATGAGAGGAAACATGCATGTAAAAGTAAATCCTAGAGTTGGACGATTGTTTTTGCAGTAGATAATTGTTGAGTAAATAGTTTACAGTGCCTCAATGCTGCTGTTGCCAGATGAAAATTAAAAATATTAAAATGTTAATTACTAATTACATACATGGAAAAATTGTGGTCAGTCAGTGGTTTAGCCCTCAATATTAGTCCCACACATTAGTCTTCCTGCCCTGTAGTGACCTTAATTTTATCATGATTCTGGCCACTAGTTCAAAAATACAACAAGCTACTTTAAGGAAAATAAACTGATAAACACATCAAAAATTTTTCAACCATGATGTCTGTTCTGTGCTATTGCACCAGCAGAGGTAAGATATGGTGGAAAAACTAAAATAGTGCCAATTCCTTTCTTTTTACAACCAATGAATCCGTTACAAACATTCTGGGAAAATCCTCGTTTTACCTCACTTTACTCCATTTGTAAAGTGAGGTAATAATAAACAAGAAATATAAAACTCACATTTAAATTTAGGTTAGAATCTCAGAAACATTTCGTCTGTATCCCCTAAACATTCACTTACAGACCAAAAGAAAGCCAAACTGCAAAGGCTTAATTTTATTTGACGTACACAAAGCAAACTTTTGTTTTGAAAACAGTGTTTTATAATTAAAGCAGGAATTAAGATGATAAAGTCTAGCAAGTCTCAATAGGTACATTGTTTCATTCTGCATGTCTAATCAGTGATTAGCAGTTTAAGACTATTGTTATTTCTTGGCTTCGCAACACAAAAGTCTGTCTCATAAATCGCTAAACAAAACATTAAAATAAAGGGAATTTAGAAAGGTTTAGGTATACATTTGACAGGATGAAAGATTTAATATTTGTGGGATGACAACTGTTTGAAATCACCAACTGCATCATATTATAATTTGTTTATTTCATGTGTTTGTGGAAATCTAGAAACGGGAATACATTAAAATAATATTTAAAAAAAAATAATAATTTCAGTCATTTTTTGTTTATAACTCAATCTCACAAGTTTAAATCAGGGAGAAAGAAGAGATGCATGATTCTGTAGGTTGGTTATACTATCCAGTCAGTTAATACACTGCTTATTTTTATTCTCTTCTAGTTAATATAGCATAAATATAACTTTATACCATTATTCTCTACTTTTTTAATTTGTTCCCTTACGAAAATAAATCTAGTTTGAAGACATGTCACACTCAGTGCTGCCTGCATTCACTTTATTTTCCAGACTACAACAATTTTGTTACATTTAGTGTAGAGCTTTTTATGTTGAATTGCACTGCAAGTTTTACTTGTTTAATTAACAAAAGATGAACAGAATTGTTTTAAATTAACAAAATTATCTTTAACTCAATGTTTTCAAGTACCTGAATATCAAAAATCAACTGATGTGATGTGTGAGCACAATTTACTTTAATGAAAAACAAACTATGCAGTAGTTTAAGTATGCGGGTATAAAGTGGTTTATTAAATAACACCAAACAGAAGAAGTGCTAGTGTGAAATGGATGTATAAGCACAGCATTACATAGTTTATATCAATTTGTAATACTGATTAGTTGTAAACATGGACTGCTATCAAAGCTGTACCAAGCCTTTAAAAAGTTACGCTTTCAAAACTGCAAAGTTTTTTTCTTGTCTCTTAAATGTGCATTTAATGAAGACAGAGACAGAAATGTCCTCTGCCCTGACCTGCCCTGCCCTCCCACACCTATTGCTGCACAAAGCTGCAATAACTGCACTGCACGCTAAAAACAAAATAATTAACGTGTTATTCAGATCTTTGACTTTATAAATTTTATACAAAAATTTTGTGTTTGTGTACAAAAACCATGCTGCTATGTTGTGAGAATTTGAACCCTAGCCTAGTTTGTTATGACATTTATAACTTAAATAGTCATTTTCCACCACAATTTCTTGTTTACCTTGTTGATTTGTGACTCAAAACTTTGGGAAACTATTCTACAAATGTCTATGTTAGGCACACTAACCCTTTGCGTGAGGAAAACCGCTTAATTATCATAATCCCGAGTGTAATTATTGCATTCAGTAGTTAAAACTATGCAGCAGAGGGTTGCCTGAAGCGCTGGGACTGTCCTGTCTGGAACTGGTTTGTCAGGAAACTGGGTCACTGCGCTGTGGAAAGACCCGAGACCGTTTGTTTTCTAAACTTCATCCTGGCCTTTTTAACTTATCCGACACTCAAATTGAGGTTCACACTTCAAAAGTAAAGGGTCCTAAAGAGGCTTAAAACCATTAGTCAGAGTAAAGCTGTGGATTTTTACCTGGAGAAACTTCAACTTGGTGGCCTCTCGCCACTTCCTGCCAGTAACGTAGCAGTCGGTCTGAACCGTCCTCCGCCTCCATGGTTTCTCCCTCCTCCTCCAAGCTGCCGTTGCCCGAATCTGACAGCTGGTCCTCGGAGAAGGACTCCAGGTCCTCCAGGGTGATCATCCCGGGTTGGTCGATGGCGTCGTTACCGCCGCCTCCTCCTCCGCCGCTCATCTGACAGCCTCCTCGGTCCATTTCTGGGGTTTTAACCGTCTACTGAGAGAAACAGACCTCGAATGACAGCTAGAACAAGTCGAGTCTGCCTAATGTTTTAGTCGAAGTAACTGTTGTTGTTTTTTTTACTTCGCGTCCGCGTCGCCCGGATTAGAACAACCGGTACTTTCTAGTCGACAAATTAGGCGCTCCTAATCTAAACCCGACGCTCTCGGCCATATTTTCAATCCCTGATTTACATCCGAGGCGAATGAAACATGTTCCTCAGCTGACAGAGGGAAAAGAAAATATCCCTAAAAATCCGAACCGAGCCGAGCAGCCGCCACCGTCTCCCGTGCAGAGGAGCGTGACGCTCCGGAGCTGAGGCGTTTGTGGTGTTTATGAAGGCGGGCCGCGGGGTCACGTGACGCTGCGGGCTCTCACAGTCCCCGCCCCTCCGGGCTGTCCGAGGTCTTAAGCACCTCTGACTCCTTGTGTCCGTGTGAGTACATCCAGTACTTCACACACTTCCTGTTTCACCCTGAAACCGCATATTTATATGTAAAAAAAAAAAAACATGATGTGATATTATTTGTGTTTTTATAAATCCTTTAATAATTTCATGTCTCTTTTGGAGGTATTTGTGATGGTAAAGAAGTTAATTTGCATTGACTTGAAGAGCAAGTTTATTTATTTTAAGATGGAATTTGTTTGAAAAACAGAGGATTATTATAAACAAAACTGAAAATGAGCACTAGGGGACAGCCCAGACAGGATTTTCTCAGATCTGTGTCGCCACTGCAACAGCTAACCACCATGTTGTACCCTTCAACATGCACGTAGTGAGGACATTATATAATCCACTATGTTCTGGGGCGGGGAGTGTCTGTGTGAGTCCAAACTGAGACTGATATGCACACTAACAATCCTCCACAAGGAGGCGGAACCTGGCAGACTCACTGCATGGCCCCGTCTGCTGGGCCCTCACTGCTTTACAGCAACAGTATTTACATAAAAAGTTTGTAAATAAAGCATTGCATTAATATAGTGAATATATACGCTTACTTTTTGTCTCTTCCTTTATTTCCCTGTTATAAAAATGTATAAAAAAATAAAGGATAAACACTCGCTAAGATTAGCTGGAGTTTTTTCATTATTGTCAGACAAAATATTATTCTTTTTCTCCTCAGTCTTTACAGATTAATCCACATATTAAAAGTTGATTATGTCTAATTTATTTTAGAAATTCTAAAAAGTTATTTATTTGATCAGCTTGTCTGATATCTATATTGTATCTAATGTTAATATCATTTGTCTCTTTCTTTGTGATTTATTTTTACTTTTATGCTCTGATAAGTTGATACTATTTAGTTCACATGAGTCAAACTTAAGGTGTGGGGGCCAAATGCGGTCCACAACAGCTTTTTATGTGGCCCTCAAACCTCTAGATAGAAAAATAAATAGAAAAAAACATTTGTATAATTTAATTCAAAGCAGTTTTTATTATCTGTATACCATCAAATCAAAAGATGTTCAAATTATTTAACTTTAAGAAGTACTTGTCAAATGCAGAGACAACTATTTACCAATGCTTCAGCAGTTTGTTGATGAGAATAGCTTTCTTTCAGCCTGCTGACTGGCAGTGCTCAGCAACAATAACATTAATTAGATGAATGTTGGAATTTCCAACAAACCTAATTGGCCGTCGCATTAAGTCCATCCTGGTGTCGAGATGCATGTCAGCTTAGGTCAGCTTGTGCTAATTTTAGACGACGCTTTTTTACTCTTAACTCCGTGCCTTTTAGCCAGGCAGCAGGAAGTTCACACTGAGCTTGTTCAGTCTGGATGTCTTCTTAAGGAAAATGGTCTGTTTGATTTTAATAGCTGGTAACAGTGTGCTTGAGTGCCTTTTGCTCTCAAACACTTAATCTTTTCAATAAATTAATAGTTAATGAGTCACCGCTCATAAAAAAACCCCTCCTGTTTATATTAATATGCCACATTGACAGAATCAAACTCTCTGACTTTGACTTTAACATAAAGTATTTACAGCAGTTGAAGAACAAAACAGAACAACATTTAAGAAATTAGCTAAAAATTATATTTACAGTATAAAACAACTTGCAGTTTTCCCTTCTGAACTTTCCCTGTTGTTCCAACCAGTACAGGCAAAAATGGAGACCTCTGTAATCTGGTTCTGTGTAATCTCATAATCTGGACTTGACCGTTGTGTACGCATTTCCACACTTGAGCTCCACCTGTCTGTCAGCCGACTGTGGAAAGCAATGGGGCTGTTTTCTGTAAGGAATATGAAAATAAGTCACAGTTTGGGCTTAAATTATTGGATATATCACTTCATTCTGGTTAAATCTGTGTTTATTTAAAATTCCCAACATTTTCAGGAAGAGAAATGTAAATGTAGCTGGAGGAATGAGTATCATTATTTTTATTAAATTATAAAATATACGAAATCAATGTATCCTTGGCTTCACATTGTTATTCTATGACAATAATATGAACTGATTTCCAGAACAAAACATATTTTAGTTACTCTAAATTGCTCCCAACCGATTGAAAATCAATAAAATATAAACGTAATACATAGTAAATAAAAAAATTTCAAACAGTGTTTTCCTCTCAAAGCACTTTGGTCTATTCATGATTCAACAAAAAGCTAAATCCTGTTTTCTGTCAGGTTTATAGGGATGTTTTAATAAATAAAGTTATTATTGGAAAACTTCATTTTATATTTCCAAAGGTTATATTTGTACGTTAAAACAGACAGGGACATTTTATATTTTGCAATTTTTTTAAATTATATCGATCCTTCTTTTCTGTATAAAGATTTAATGGCAAAAATAATATGACATTTTATGCAAAGCTTAGCAACCTAGCAACCCCAACACATCACCTTGCAATCCAAGCAGAGCTCCAGCATGTTTGGTCAGCTGCTTTTATTACTGTACAATGGCTGCTGGAAAGGATAAGTGTTTTGTTGTTGTCTTTTCATCCAGAAGCCACTTGCTGAATTCTTGTTGATTGTGCGGGAGGCTCTACTAATGCTTTTTAAAAATGTTCGGTCGTATAATTGCAGCTCTGTTTGCAGCCATTTTAACGTGTGAGTATAAATGTTGAGTTCGGGGGTGTGGCCAGCAGCAGCCGTAAAGGGAACTGTTCGGACTAAAATCTCATTATCTAAGAATGATTTCTGTGCAAAAATCTATAATGAACATGTTTTGTGTAGACCTTTACTAGCCTGTTCAGGGAAGCATAATAAGTCACCTTCAAACATTTGTCTTACTCACCGAAATTAATTGATGCTGGATTTCGAAATATAAACAGAGGTTTGAATTTTCTTTTGTGTTCACATTCCTTTCATTCCTTCAGCAGCCAGAAACCACTTTCTGTGGTTTGAAGCCAAGAAATTCATTTCTAAAACCTGGATTTCCTGTCTGTCCACATCTCCCCTGAACTTACTGCAACAACCCCACCTATGGTTTGCTGCTTAGTTTTATTAAATAAAAAAAAGAAAAGAAATTCTGAGTAAAATTTCAAATTAGATTAAATGAGAAAAGAGTAAATAAAATATTCATGAATAATGGCTGAAGATGCATTAAATAGAAAGCCGTGATTCTAGGTATTTACAGGGCAAAAGTTTTCATGAATTTTTTCACATTTTATCAACAGCAAATTTCAGTGAGTTTTTGAAGGAGGTGCAAATTTGTGAAGTGGAAGGAAAGCAATGCATTTAAATATTCCAGTTAATAAAAACATTACACGTGTGGCACTTATTCACATTATCAGAGTAAGTAGCAAACTTAGAATTTTCTTTTCATTTATTCTTTATTTTTGCGATGAAATGAAAAATGTGGAAATGTCATTAATAGAAAACTTGACATCACTTTACATGAAACTTGCCTCCTGCAGAGGAAAGTTTTGTTGTCTTTATGTCAAATTATTAAGTTTAATTAATCTCCATCTGGTTGCATTACCCTAAAGCTGTGTCTGTCATTTATTCATTTTAGTTTATAACATGGAGCAGTTTAATCATTTTGGCTGTTTAATGATAGCCGACAATTATGTTTAACTCAAAAACTGGAGTTGGAAGATTTAAAAATGAGCTTTTTTATTATTTTCTGCTCCTTTTCTTTTTCCTCTCCCATCAGGTGATTCTTAAAGCACAGCAGATATTGAGTGTTGTTACGAAGCACAGCTCCAACCAGATGGTCTGTTCTCTCCGTGTTTGCTTGATTAAATGCACTGGACTGCCTGTTGGTGTTTTCTGAAATCTCAGCAGGTTTTCAGGTTATCGTTCAATCTGTAGCTCAGATTATTCAACCCATTGTTCAGGAAAGTGGGGCAGATGTAAGGATGCGTTTAGATTTCGAGGGAAAGCGTTTCATGACAGCAGGAATAACTGGGCTCTGCTTAGTCAACGGTTTTAATTCGACGGATGCTTCCTGCTTATTTTCTTCTCCTGTAGATTGTGATGCTGTAATGGTCACAAAGCAAGTCATGTTGCCTTTCACGTGTTACAAAACTGGATTTATTATTTGATGTACACAGAAATTAAGTGAATAACCTACTTCTTTCATTCTTTTTTTTTTTTTTTTGTTCAATTTGTAGAGCAGAAATTTCACCCAGACTGAATTGAAGTCGTAATGACCCCGTCTCTCATTATCTGCAGTTATGCGGATAAAAAGCCTTTGTGAAATTGAATGGATGCTTTCCCATTAGTTGGAAATGAGGACAGGCAAAAGGAACAAAGAATTCAATATCTCTTATTTTTTATCAAGAATAAAACCTCTCAGCAGGTCTGCTTTGTGGCAGTAGTGGTAATGACTGTGCCAAGCCTGTGCTCAGTGGACATGCTGCTGTTGTTGGGGTGATTTATTTCCTCTCTTCACAGGAAGTATCACTAAATTATACTTTTTTTTCTCCCTGCACCTTCTAGATTCTGGAAAAGTTCATGTCCCGTTTGATTCAGAACCGAGTGATGGGCCACAAGGACCTGCGGACGCTCAGCAAGTACCAGCTGATTCTCGCCAGGGATCAGTTCCGCAAGAACCCGCCGCCGCACGTCAAGGCATGCGCTCTTTTAGAAACCTTTGTGTTTTCAAGTTCTGTTAACTTGTAACTAGTCATCTGCATCATCTGAATAATTCTCACTGCTCAAAAGAAACAAAAAGGAAAAGTGTTCCTGCATTTTCCACATTTTGTCACATTATAACTCCTGGTTTTCAAACTGCACTGCAAAAACACAAATTCCTAACAAGTATTTTTGTCTGCTTTCCAGTGGAAATATCTCAGTACACTTTAAAAAATGGAACCTCCAAGTTTCTTTTCTGCAGTATAGAGAAGCTTTTTTTAATTCTTAATATTTAATGAAAAGTTCTAGTTCCAT